AAAAAAAAAAGGGGGGAAGATAAAGAGGCAACAACGCCTAACATTTTTGTGTTTGTCATTTATTCCTTGGAAGGAACAGGAATAATTGTACAGAGCAGAAACTGGTATACAGTGTACAATTGCTGAGCATAAACATACAATTGTTGACTGTAAACATACCATTGTTGAATATACACATGAGAATGTTTGCCGTAAACGTACAAGTGATGAACATAAACGTTAAATTGATGGCCGGACAAACAAGGGCCATAAATGCACAATCATTGACTGAAACATTTGAAACAACTTTACAACCGCTGATCATAGTTGTGAACAGAAGAGTACAAAAGAGAACCTTGTGCGATGAGCCACTTTCTTCTTCACATGATCTTCCCATTGCCGCGAGTAGCCGTTCGGTTTTGTAAATTTCCGTGCGCGGGATACAAAAGAGGCTTAAAAGATAAGCGCGGCTACGACACCTCGCGGTCTCCTCATTGTTCTAATTAGCAATAATTACCCGGTCGTAGTTGCCTTGAAAAGGATCGTCATTAACAACAACAACAGCACAACACTAAATATAAAAAAAATAAAACAATTTTAAAAAAACATCCGCCATTAAGTGCTATCATCGCTAAAGTGCAAGCTTTACCAAGGTCAAGTCGGCCCACCCGCAACCGCTAATGAGCTTCTGGACACTAATTACTCATTAAAATAACCAGCACATTATGTCAGTATGAACAAGTTGCTCCATGTCAGCACTGGTGCCAAAATAAAAAAAAAAAAGCCGTGCCAAATTGTCATCAAATAACGACATTTATTTTTTGCCACCCGCAACTAATGACCATCAGCTGACAACTGAGGATAAACTTACAATTGTTGGTTATCAACATAAAATTCAGAGCCATAAACATAAAACTCAGGGCCCGTGAAAATACAATTGTACGTTTATTGGCCAACAATTGTCGGTTTATGTGCATCAATTGTATGTTAATGCTCAACACTTACATGTTCCTGGTCAGCAAATGTGGTCAACCATTACATGCCTATAGCCAACAATTATGTGTTTATGACAAGCTATTTTATGTTAACTTATGTAAGTATAAATATGTATGCGTGTCGATTCTAATGCAGAAAAATGTTGCTTGCGCAGTGGGAATGCTAATACTAAACACAACTTCTGAATGCTAATGCTAAATGCATAGCAGTTGGAATGCTAATACTAAATGCGCTCTGTGAACTTCTGAATATATATATATATATATATATATATATATATAAAGAAAAAGGCTGACTGAGGTCATAAAAAAATCGTCTCTGGACTTAAGATGCTAATGCTAAAAAATGCTGTTTAAGTTCTTTGAAATGCTAATGCTGAATAATATGGTCGGTGTGGACTTGTGATGCTAATGCTCAAAATGCTGTGGCACTGTGTAAAGAAAAACAACAACAAAATTTCAGTCATTGTAAATTTTAGTACTAATATAATACTTCACTCGCATTTTAGTAGTGCGCTTGTGCGCTGACTTGACTTCCTGAATTGACTTCCGGGACATTTAGCTAGATATCAGCGACATGGAAGAAATGCTCAAATAGCTTTCCATAGCCAAATATCGAGTCCCTTAACATGGTGCAATGGAGTGAGCTTTTTACTCCGTTTCAGAAGCACTCAAGCACACTGACAGCGAAGTCAGTGACACACACAAGACTGTCTGCGCTCATAAAAGAGCTCCTCGTCTCACAAAGGTTATCCGTCCCCCAGCACTGCGTCAGCTGGTGCAACGTCAGTGAATTGTTGGGATGGGATGGAAGAAAAAAAAAAAAAAAGAAAGACCAAAAAGTCGGATGTCGCACGCTCGCCGTCCACAGCCTGCTGGAAACGTCACCAGGCCAGCCGGAGGAAACCTCGGGAAGCGTTTTGACATTGACACTGGATAAGATGTTGAGAGACGCCACGAGAATGTGGGTCACAGTCCCGGGATGAGATCCCGTTTGCCATATGCAGCAAATGACAAAATGCCGACTGGAATGCGGTATAGAGGGGCTTGCAAGTATGATAAACGCACAGTTGGCAACAGAAGTTGACCAGAGTCTAAAAGTCCAACCCAAATTTTTTGACTGTGAACATACAATTGCTGACCATAAACACACAATTGTTGGCCACAATTTTTGACCACAGATGTGCATGATGACCAACCACATGCGCTTCTTGACCATAAACACACAATTGTACAAACCGTAATTGTGCAGAGCTGAAACGTAAACAGAGTTGTGGAACTGTAGAAACATACAATTGTTGACCACGAAAAATTGTCAAGTTAGAAAAACAAATTCATCACGTAAGAACAAAGACTTTTATGGGATGGGGGTGGAAAAAGATGCAACATTACCAGAGTAAAATTGTTAACTTTCGCCCATAAAATTGTTTCATTAAATTCTCTCGCTGTTTCTCTCATGAAGATGTTCAACGAGTAATTTAAAAATAATTATTTTTGTGGTATTATTGTTTGAACTTGCAGGTCCTTTCCTTTTTTGAAGGTCTGATAATGACTGTAGTCATTAACAGCAGTGATTAAAAGGGATTATTTGAAATGGCATTTCATTCTCCGACAAACTGATGATTACAGTCTTCTTTTTTTTGCCTCGGTATTGTTCGGACTTCTTCTGTGAAAGACTTTTTGTCACTGCTGGCAGGTTTTGTCATTTCCATGCAAAAAAAAAAAAAAGTGTTTTGTTTTTCTTGGAGAGGCTCCCAGCTTGCATACATTAGCGTTAATATAAAACACTGCGTGCATCTTTTTCACAGCGGCTGGCAAAAAAAAAAAAGAAAGCAAAGAATAAAAAGTATGTTTGATTCTTTTTGTGCTCGCTTGTCAAGCCATTAGCAGCCGCACGTTCCAGTCAGCTTGACAACGCGCTTGCAAAATGATTGTGGTGGTGTTTCTTTTTTATACGCAGGTCTGACATTTGCATACTGATTTACATTTGGTTGTTTTGGAAAACGGGCTCCCGCAGCATTTTGTCAGCCTGGTGATATTCAAGAAGCAAATTGTTCACATTTCAGTCAATAAAGCAACAAAAAAAATATATGACTGAATGAAAACTTGTTTATTTATGCTGCACAACAAGGTCCACACATGATAGCAGCATTAGCACCAGCACCATGCTGTGGCCTTACTTTTTGTGAGCCTCTTCCAAGAAAACGGTAATAAATTCGCGCCTAGAGATAGAGAAAGATAAAAACCGTCATTTGGGGGATTTTCTGGTTTGACTTGAGAGCAAAAATTTACCATACAAAAACAGGCATTTATTACAGCAGTTGAGATATTCATTTGTCACCATGACGGATTTACGTCGCGCCCGCCAGAAGGAGCCGCGATGAATTCATCATGATGCACTTATTTCTTTACATTCCATTTGATTATTATTAGTGTCTGTAAAAGTATAATTTTACAATGTAATTTCAGAAAAATGTCATAGACTTCTATTTTTCTTCTGTCGTACGGTGTTCCACAGGGTTCAATTTTGGGGCCCCTGCTGCTGCAGAGTTTCAACATGCAAACAGTGTTATAGTAAGCATGTATCCCAATCTCACTAAAATAGTTGTTAGCACCTCAGCACATATCGCTACAACGGTCGAGGGAATGCTTCTCAAATGTGATTTCATCTCACTTTTGGTCCTCTAGTAATGAAAGCATTTACACATGACAAGATAACTAGCACCTTTCCCAAATGATTGTTTTTCAGCATGTAGACAATAACAGATCAATACTGGCTCATCGACGTTATGTTGAGCAAAACATGATCATGAGTGACATCTTCATCCTGCCCATTGGGCTGGAAATATTGACGCCGCTTTAATTTCCTTGCAGCGCCCCTGCGACCAATCCTCACGCACCACTTGGCATTAAATTGAGACCCGGATGAAGACGCGCTGCGACGCGGCCAGCTCATTTGGGATTCCCGCCTGGCAGTGCCGCGCATGAGACACATCAGATGGCTGAGGGGACGGCGTGGTTACTGATGAGGCTTTACCGCCGTGATGCAAGCGTCCTCATGCATCTTTCATCATGAGCGGCTGCCATGTCGTACGTGGGATGCGACACGAGTGCAAGGACGACATTAAAAAAAAAAAGTACGACACGCTACCTTCACGGTTCCGCGTAACGATATCGTTCCGTCAAAGGTTGAAGAATGCTTGGAAACTTGGGAGCTTTATGGACCTAGAAATGGTAGACAGAAATTTTATATGATCAACGAGGCCGCATATCCTCACTGTCGGGCAGATGATCCAAATATGTCCATTGATATTTTCTTTTACAAATCGATACTGTTGGTTTGTAACCATGTTGTTTTTCCTGGTACAGTAGTAGCTCAAAATCAAAAGACTGCAGGGGGGCCAGAAGCATCTTTTCCCTCACAAACTGAAGCCTCAACTTCACGGGGTGTCATCACATGTCCACAAGGGAAGGCACGTTCTCTCGTATGCAGCAGACGTGCTGAGCTAAATGCTACTTACATTAGCATTCCACTCTCTGCATTTACAGGTCTCGGTTGCAGATGCTTTTCATGTCGCTGAGCACGAGGTTCCGGTAGCGTCTTTCTAGAAGCTGCATGAAGTCCAGGTAGTCGCAGAACCGGAAGCCCTGGATGGGTTCCTCCTGCGAAGGCAAAGTGAACATTGTCCCAATTACAACTGAACACGAACGTACATGCTAAATGCTAACTGCTATCTCCCACTTTCATAAAACACACCATTTTGGAGATGATTTAGCTTGGTCCCAAATTTTATAAAACATCTTGAAAAACACCATTTTGAATATGATTTAGCATGGTCTCATTTTTTTTTTTGGTATCTCAAAAAAAGTGTCATCGGGGGGTGTGTGAACTTTTTATAACCACTGCACTGTAATCTGCAGTACAGGGACATTAAAATGTTGAACTTAGTTACATTTTCTCAACACGCTACGATGCTTTTTGAATACAACTGTTGCTGTCACAGCTGTGCATACAAACTTCCCCACATCAGATTTCCCGCAGCTCGTGAGCGCACATCCCACCGCCGCGTTCGTACTTCTCGCAGCGGTGCGTGTGCAACCCCCACGGCTCAGTATCGACGCCCCACGGTGGTTAGTCAGCATTTGAGTGGTTAAGTTCCTCCGAGCAGACTTAGAACAACTCCAACACGTTGTCTGCCTTCTAAATTTTTAATTTGGATGAAATATAGATATTACTCCTTGTGAGACGGGCCTAGCGTGTGCGTGCGCGCGCGCATGTGTGTGTGTGTGTGTGTCTGTGTGTGTATATACAAAAATCCGGCCTTCACAATGTTCCCACAGACATAAATGACGAGGACAGAGATGATATTGCAATATCTAAAACTTAATGGTTCAATTCAGGATAAGGACCGTGCAAAACCCTAGAGCACGTACGCATATACAGTATGTGCACGCTCTCTCTCTCACACACACACACACACACACACACACACACACACACACACACACACACACACTTATCCCTCTCTCAGCAACGCAATCTGATGTTGGCGCTCATTAGGCGAGCGTCCCGTAATAAAGCCGGGCTAACTGCTCTTTTATTCACAGCAAGTGGGCGGTGGGCGGTGGACGACCCCGACGATGACGATGCCGAGCCAAGGCACTTAATGAGATTCATTCTCAAGTCTTCACCCGACCAAGTCATCCGCCCGTGACAATATACAGCCAAACCGGAACACACTCTGCATCTCCGTAAGCCGCATTTGTTCACACCTTGACACTTGTACTTCCTGGGACGAAGCACGACAGACTCACAAACAGTTCTCGGTTTCCTGGCGCCTCACCTTGAGGAAAACCTGCAACCGGCGGGCTTGCGTTTGCTGCAGCAGAAGTGGCTGCAGGTGCTTGAGGACGGCCAGGCAGGCGTACACCTGGTAGTCGGCTCCCATCAGTGCGCATATGCACACATAGTGGCAGATCTCAGGCCAGTCCAGGAAGTTCCAGAAGCACTGAGTCAGCCAGTGGATGCATATCTGTGTGTCAAGATCAGATCATAAACTTGGAGTGTTTTGTTTCGGATTCGCCCACAGGGAATATTGCGATTCATTGCTTGAGAGGAAATGGCTAATTGGACATTTTCACTTCGGGGGGGTGCTCGCTTTTGTTGCATTTTGACACAACACAAAATGGAGACTAACAACTATATATTGCAGGTAAGCGTGCACAAGTAAAAACATCACACACACACACACACACACACACACACACACACACACACACACACACACACACACACACAAACACACACATACACGTCTGGAGTGTAATTTAAGACTGTGCTGACTCGGAAGCATTTGGAGAGAAGGAAGGAAGGAGGCTTGGCTGGCTGGCGGCGGTGTTGAATATTGAAGAGGGATTATGGGACGCAGTGACGAGTGGACGCATGCTCCCTGTTTATTTGTATTCACCAAACACCACGGCCGCTCGCTCATTTCAAACCGAACCCAGGCTTGAAACTCAAACCCTCGTTGGGAAACCCTTTAATGGGACTTGAAACTCTACTTTTAAGCTTCACGGGGGCTTAGCTTTCACCTAACTCCAACCTTGTACGTCTAACTGATACAAATCTTTTCCTCTCACACGCACGCACGTATGCACGCCTCCTCAGGTGCGTGGGAGTGTTTGAAAAGCGATGGCGAGTTGAAGGCGGAGAGGCATCCGGGGAGGGGGCTTAAAGAGCAGGAAGACGAGCTGAATGTTAAGTTGTCATCTTTGGAGTCTTGAGATACTGAATTGTCACGCGAGGAGACGCCGAAGGACGGCGTATGATGGGGGCTGAGGAAGGAAACCGAGGCAGGACTCGAGGACACATAAAAGGGCATGACCTGCGATGGGGTGAAACCGGACATCCGGAAGGCGGCGTGCGCTTGTGGAAGTTCGTCCTTCAGCAGCATCTCCACGTAGTGAGCCGAGCTCCAGTACAGCGGGGACATTCCTGACTCAGCCACTCGGACAGCAAGGTCCACCTGCAGCCAAAGTTATATCGGTGGCCTTTCACTGGGTTCCGAAAATGGGGACTCACCGACGCGTGTACGTTGGCTGGCCAAATGAAAGCGGAAGTGAGCACAGAGGAAAGATGGCGCAGCAGCCTCAGAGATCGCCGCCAGTCCCCAGACATCATCAGGAAGACCGTCGACGTCAACCAATCGTGGCCGGGATAATCTTCCTGGCCCGCGACTGGCGTGCTGACTCAAGGATTAGCGTTATTATCGTCATTACAAAAGCAAGGGCATGGTTATCAATGCAGACTGTGGATAACTGAATCCCAGGGAAAAAAATAAAAAAATAATCAACGGGCAAAATTTTGTCTGCTTATCTGCTTAAAACAATTTCCCCAGTCTTGAGTGCGAATTTGAAACCCGAACCCAGACTTGAAACCGTATGTTGAAATCTGAACGCTGCTTTAACTTCTTAATGCTTCTTTGAAACCTAAATTTGATTTTCGAACCCTTGGAATCCGAACCATATGTTGAAATTTGAAGCTGCGTTTGAAACTCTCAGCCCATGCATGAAACTTGGAAAACTTGAACTTTTTGGGAACGGGGACCGAAAATCTTGTGTGTGAAAGTCAATCTGGGGATCTCGGGGCTGTTTTTGCGTTCTGATCATTTTTTTTTGACTGCCAAATAATGCAATAAGGAGGACAAAAGCGGCGTTTTGTTTGGCGGGGACGCCGGCGGCTGAGTGGCAAATAAATAAAGAGCTAAACAGCACTTTGACTGTGACCGACTGCCTCATCAATCTACAATGCGCTGTCAGCTTGCCACGGAATTCCAAATGAGGCGCGCCGCCGCCGAAAGAAAGAGGTTTGATCCCAAATGCAACCACATCAAGGCATTTAAAAAATAAAAACCCTAATAGGATGGCCTCTTCCCATGAGAATCTCAACATCACTTTGTACAAAACCCTCCTTTCAAAACCCAACGCAGCTTCACAACCGTGATGGGAAACCCAACTTTGAAAGTCACACTGGGATTTCGAATCCTCAACCTGGTTTGCAACCATAAACCAGACTTAAGACTCATTTCTGACACGAGGGCCCACATTGAAAACCTCCCCAGTCTCGAGACCCTAACGTGAAGCCCCATCTCATTAATTCTCCTTGCAAAAATGACGGCAGCAAGCTCTTCCCTTTCAACCCAAGAGGTCCCAGGTTAGCCCAGTAAATCACAAGACCTGTGAAAATAATATTTTAACTTCAAACTAATAATTGTCAAAAGGATACGCAGCGGCGAGGACATTGGAAGCCTCCGCCGGGACAGGAAATTCTTGACGTGCTTCATAAGGAGCGTCAGGTGGCTCGCGGCGTCTTCTTGGCGGAGCAGCTTGAGAGCGACGCCGTATCTGGAGGAGAGAAAAAAAAAAACGGATATGTGCTCAAATGATATATTCAGTACAAATCATGAATATGTGTTTTAATCACCATAAGTACCTTTTAGTACATTTAAATATGTCTATAGCAAGTGGAGGAACATCGCTGCAATTAGGTCCTTCCATTTCGCAGGTGGTCTCATGACTAAAATGTCATTAACAGCAAATAATGCCGACATTTCAGATTTATATGTACGCTGAGGGGAAAAAAATAAAATGAAATACAGAGCTGGAAAAATACACACCAAGCGAGTGGTCGAAAAGTCAACCAGTGCTGGTGTGTTTGTAGTGGCGCCTCCCCGCGGAAAATTTAGCATATGGGCAATTTTTTTTTTGCTCAAGCGCTCCCTTTAGGGCACGGGTGTCAAAGTCAAGGCCCGGGAGCCAGATTTGGCCCGCCACATCATTTTATGTGGCCCGCAAAAGCCAATCAAGCATGACCCAAAAAAAAAAAATTTTTTTTTTTTTTTTAAATCACTGGATCGCATTTGGGCGGCACTGGTTTCTCTTGAGCATTTGGTGCGTTCAAGTATCACTATGTATACGAAATTAAAGCGCTAAGATACCTCAGGCAGACGTCCATGCCGAGCATTTCCACAGGTGACAGCGCCACAGCATCCGCACTCGCCTCCTGTGCTGTGATGACAATTACAAAAATAAATAAATAAATAAACACAAGCAGTGAATTACTGCCCGCTGCTTTAGAGGCCCAACAGCGGAAATCAATGTGTCACAACCCGTCCGTTTGGGACTCATCCAATCGGCGCCGAGCGACGCTAACTGGCATCGGCCATAAAAACGCATTGAGTGCACGGCGAGCTCCTTTGGCGTTACGGACGGAAAGCATCCGCAACCCGGACCTGAGCGCAGGTAAGACAATAAAAGGGTGGGAGGGTGACATTTTAGGTTAAAAAATGTTTTTGTGGTTTCCCGCCATTGCGGAAAACGTTTCTTTTTTGTTTTAACTGCTTTTATTGCGGCGTTGCTTCGCAGCGGAGGAAAAGCACAAATTAAAACACGCTCGCTTGATTATTGGAATGTTTTTCTGACTGTGCTGGCCTCCCTCAAAAGAGCATCAAACAGCTGCAGCTCATTTCGAACTATTAAAATGGATGGCAACGCAGGTCTGCAGTGTTGTGGACTTCCCGAGCCGCGCCGCTAATAAGACGCCACGTCAAAAAGCTGCTCTGGGTGTGGCGGCCCATTTTCAAAGAGCAGCGTCCGCCTCCGAGTGCGCGGCTGGCGAGGAGGGCTGATGTTGACTGACAAAAGGTTAATGCTCGCCAAATGAGTCTGCTCTCAGCGCAAAAAATGAGAGTGCTCGAGTCGGGCTGAGGCGCCGGGCTAAGAGCCAAGACACACACGCACGCACGCACACAGAAACATCGCATTCACGGGCTGTTATTTGCAGGGATTGACTGTAAGAACTGAGGCCTGAGTGGGCATTTGTTTCGCAGGAGACGTGGAGGTGTACCTAATGAAGTGGCCACACAAACCCCCCCGCGTGAGCCGCTCGCCTCTGCCGCCGTCCGTCCGTGCAAAGTTGACCACAGATGCTGGATATCGGGAATTTCATTTGCGAAAATTCCGCGGATGACGTGAGAAGTCTGCAATTAGCACGCAGGTGCCGTTGGGAAATGCAAGCGTGCGGAATTCGAGCTGGGAAATCCGCTAATTAACGACATCATCATACTAACCGCTGGCTAGTAAACAGTAACCCGTTGACAGCGATCCGCTAATTAACGACATCATCATCGGTGCGGTCGGTTGTTTAACCGCTGGCTAGTAAACAGTAACCCGTTGACAGCCCTCACTGGTTTCATATGACAGAAGGTCAATTAATCCAACATAAGAAAAAAAAAAACATTGCATTTTTTTTCCATGTTGCATTATTTTGGCGAATTTTGGTCTTTCGTTGTCCCCGGTTACTAAAAGTGCTTCAGACAATGTGTTTGTATTCGTGTCATTTTCTCTCTATTTCTGTGCGCTCCACCTCTCCGCCGCAGACTCTCCTTTTCGCTCCAAGGCATGTAACGTTGTCTTCGCATAACAGCATCAGCGGCAGCAGGCAGCAAAAGAGCACAGGTGTCCGGAGAACAAAATGCGTGCCTTGCCGCGCTGCCCTTTAGCCACCTTTCTCACGTCCGACTTGTCAAGAAGAAGAAGAAGAAGAAGAAGAAGGAGCGGGCCGGCTGAGCCGGCGTGTTGCCACGTGGCACTCACTGACCTTTGTTGTGCTCAGGCGGGGAGAAGAAGCGCTCCACGGAACATTTGGACAGATGGTACACAACCTTCTCCAGAAGGTCAGCCAGCACTGCACATGAAAACAAGCACACGCAAGCACACACACAAATCACACGACCACATAAAGAGGCAAAGAAACAGCTTTGGGGGAACAAAAAAATTTTAAAAATCAAGCCGCAAAGACCTCATCATCTTACCTGTGGCGGTCAAGCCGTGGTGCCCGGCTGTCATAACTTTGCGGTAAAGTCGGCGGCACGTCTCCATCCAGCTGTCTTCTGTCGTCGCGTTTCGAGGCGACGTCAGGAAGTCACGCAGCTCGGGTTCTGGCCGGTGAAAGCGGGGTGTCAACGCCCTTCTTCATGCAGCGGCTCCAATCACACGACGGGAGTCTCACCCAGCGGGTTCTGTTGGGTTTTTGGTGGGTCCAAACTGTAGCAGGTGGGTGGAGGGAATGACCAAAACATGGGCCAGGGATAGGGATCGTCTCCCTACACGGGGATAAGTGGAGACCAAACAAGACTCGGTTTGAAAACAGCTGATTAGACGGCGGCGACCTGTCAGTTGAATAGAATACACAACTAATTGTATATAATTCGGCGATTGGTAGAAAAACAAAATGCAGACAGCTAGTTGTGAAAAGCCCCAAGTCCTTCATCTCCACTTTTGCGTAACAAAATGAAATTTTGATCTTGATTCTGCCTCAAATTTCCTTGATCTTTGGTTCCCTCAGCCTGAGCCTCAGATTATAAAACATGTTGCGCAACCTCTCTTTCAAAACTGCTGTTTTTCAAAAATGAAAACAGCCAAAGTTATTCCGATTCACAAGAGTGTAGAGAATCGTTTATTTACCGTATGTTCCAGACTATAAGTCATAGTTTTGTTTTCATAGTTTGGCCGGGGGCGGTGGGGGGGGGATTTATTCTCTGGAGCGACTTATGTTTGAAATTATTATATCATTTCACATGTTATTTTCACATTAAACCGCAAGAGGGCGCTCTAGGCCTGTGTTGATAAGTCACCGATGAGTCTAAGCAACGTACAAGAGGAAGCGCCTCATCTTCCCCACCCCCCTCCCAAAACTTCACACCCCCCAAAAAAAAATCACAGTTGATTCTTTTTTCCAACAGGAGACATAAACAGAAGAAGCCGTGAAATTTGACGCAAACGCTCCCTTTCAAAGGCCCTAACCGCCCTCCTCCCTGTTCGAAATGTGTCATATCCTCTCTGTGACCTCCGCTTGAAACGAAACCCTGTTTTCTGTTCGCTGAGACGAGAACTGAATAATTGATCACCAATCCCCAATCACGTAACGACGTGTTCTCTGTCATTAAAAAAAAAAAAAAAAAAGGGGGGGGCGGGGGGGGGGACACCAATGGCCAAGACAATTGGATTTGAGTTTTGGCGGTTTAGGCTGACCTCCTGCAAGGCCCGAGGGGGGAGTCTCCTCTCGGATGGTCCTCCAACAACGGCGACGCGAACCAGCGTGTGGTTCCTCTCCAGTGACGCGTTGTCTAAAATGAAGCTCCTGAGAAGAGGATATTTTGACCACGACACAAAGAGAAGACACCGTTTCATATTGTTGATGAATAAGAGATTTCGGAACAGTTCCTCAGTCTTGGGCTCGCCTCGGTTGGCTAGTTTCAGAGTCTTGGTCTTGATTTGGTCTTGCATTTTCTCCCAACGTTGGTCTTGATTTTATCTCACTTTGGCTCTGTGTTATTGAGTGGCTCTCAATTTTTTTTTTCATTTTCTCAGTCTTGGTCTGGCCTAGGCTTCTACTTTCTCAGTCTTGGTTTTTAAGTTTGACAGTTTCTTGGCCTTGTTCGCTCCTCAAATCTCGACATTTCACTTTGTTTCAACTTCTCAATGCTTTTTTTGTCCTGACTCCAGTCTGACATTTCCTATAGTTTGTCAATCTTGGTCTGCTCTCGCGTTGCTGAACTTGTCGGTTGATGAATAATTCTCTGGAACCTTTAAAAGCCATTCTGAGGTTTTAACGATGAAAAAAAAAGTGCCCGTGAAAAGTCCAATTACAGACTTTGAACGGAGAATGAAAACCATAAACGAGAGCCGCTGCAGTACATTATCGTGGCGCGAGGGAAGCTCCGTGTTAACGCCTCTCGCCGGATCTGTGAATTCGCCAATATGAAATGCCTTTTTAAGGCTGAATGCTAACTGCTTTCGTTCCAACCTCTGAAGCAATTTGGACTTGGAAAATTGGCAATAAGGAGGAGACGATGCGTTCTTTTGCAAAGGTCTGCTCACACTGGCCATGGGTGATTATTCGGAGCGGCTCAAAGAACGACACGCATTCAAATGAAATGTGCCTGACAAGACGTACCTTGAATTTGTGGCGGGCCGCAATTGGGTTCACTTGAAGTGAAGAAGGTGGCAAATAGGAGAAAAACAGTATTTTGGCGGCTTGTGAAGATGATGCTGATATGTGTGGGGGGGGGACGGGCGGGGGGAGTCGTAGAAATGAACAAGCCGTCATGTCGCCCGATGCACTGACATGAGTCGTCGTTTCGAGGCCATTTTCATGTACATGGGCCCCGGCTAAGGCAGTCGTCATTAGTATGACGGATGGTCTTGGAACATTCCAACTTCCTGTCCGCTTTATTTCATCTTATCTGTGACAAGGCAGGCAAACAATTTCTCCCGCCTGGCTCTGGTTAAGTTAAAAAAGAAAAAAGGGTTCTGTCACATTACAACGGTGAAATTGGAAGCAAAAAATGTGTTCAAAACGTTTCAAATCCAGTGCTGCCTTGACTTACGAGCAAGGAGCAGATGCTAATTTTGAGCCTTGAGTTGTGCGAGAAATTCAGAGCAAGTGTTTTAGCATGTCTAAGAACACCCGTTATGACTCAGTCAGTACCTTGTGTAACACAAAGACCTTTCGTCCTGCATTAGCAAAGCCCCCTCAGGGTGAGTAGAAGGGGAAAAAAAAAAAAGGCATTCGCGCACATCAAAACGTCAGACTCGGCAGCCTCCAAATGTTTCACACAAAGCCTTCAACGGGCGAGCGGTGAGCCTGCTGAGCTTTTGGCATTTGCGCTCCGAGTGCTCGGGCGGTTCGCCGCGACCCTCCACGACTAACCTTTTACACGGACGCGCAAGTGGACTCCGCTCGAGTGATGTGGCCACGCAAGCGAAACGATGACGAACAATCTAAAGCGGATCCATGAATGGCAAAGTCGACTCCACGACAAAGCTACCCAGTGACGATTGTTTCCTGTCGCCTTTTATGTCATTTCACAGACGGACTGACTGGAGGTTAATATGCACGGTAGGTCAGTTCCTACCCATCCCCGCCGTTCCGGTCAGCCGCGTTGTCCCTCTGGCTTTGCAGCAGCACGGCGCAGATATTGTACTGGCTCTCGAGTAGCAGGAAGGAGTCCAGGCTGGAGCACAGCACGTTGAGCAGTCTGCAAACAACACGCAATCACGGGATTTCACGCCCTTTGGAGAGAATAAAATAATACTCACAGGCATATATTCTTTATCCTCTTCCATTAATGCGGTTTACTGAGTCGCATACAGTCGTTGAGCAAGACTGTCTGCGTGGCTAACAGAACGTTGGTCTGCGCGAATTAAACGCTTCTCCACCCCGACTCGAAATTAATCGGCAGATTAATCGTTTCTTTTTTTTTCCGACCAAATGTCAGGACTGGGCCTTACTTGTTATGATAATGTTTTATGAGAAGATTATAGAGTGGTGTTTTTCGCAGGGGGTAACGCTGGAAGGGATTAATGACATTTCTATTCATTTTAATGAGGAAAGATGACTTGAGATAAAATTAATCTTATATGTCACAGCACCACTTTGCTATGGGATCAGGTAAAATGTCCTAAAAAGGACATTACACGAAGTGCTGGCACAGAGCGATAGACAAGTGAAGCGGCAGCACAATGTCACACAAAATGCGCTAAAGTGTCAGACCGGGTACCACTCACGCCGACAATCCCTGTCGATTTCCGACGAGTCATGAATGTCTCCAGGAAGCGGATTAGTGAAGCCAATTTTCTCCGGCAGCTTCACTCGCGAGCTTTGTATATAAAAAAGAAAAAAAAAAGGAAAAATGTGCGGGGAATCCCCGCGAGAAGCCTTCATGGTTCATTTTCAAATGCTGGTAATGATGCCCGGCTTAAGCATTCTGCTGAGACTCGGCACAAGCTGCGGAATAACGACGACGCTTGGGCTTTGTACTTTACAAAACTCGACGCTCAAACTACAAGGGATCCCCGTCAACATTCTCAGTCCTTCACCTGACCCGCTTGGTGCTGCGGCACGTACGATGCAGAGAAATAACGTGCTCGCCACATGACCCCGTGAACGCACAACATCAAACTAAAACACAAAACACGACTTTATCTCATGGATTGTCTGTGTTATCTATTGGGCGTCGACCAACAAGCCTTCCCTCTTCCATCGGATCTGAAGAGCTAGCGTACCTAATCAAGTGTCCCCGTGAGCATACAGGACGCCGTTGTTCCTATTTGCCAAAGTGCGGGACGGACGCCTGACCGACACGCACTCTCAGTCCGCCTGACAGCCGCCAAGCGAGAGGCTGTCAGCTTGTCAGGCTCGACGACCTCTCCTCCTCCCGTTTGAAAGCAATGCTTCCGGAAGCCGACCTGTTAGCGCTTTGTCTGACAAGCTTCCGCCCTTACGTGTTCCCCTCACTCAGAAGTCTGCCGGATAGCTCGCGGTGGCTCCGCGAAGCCAACACATCTAACTTTTCCAATCAAACGCTATGTTTGGAAGCGTATGCTTGACTTAAAAAGTCCGCTAAAAATCCAGACACTTGAGGCTGTTGCGCGGAGGATGGGATCATTTTTAAATTGTGAGAGTCCCCGTCTGGTATCCCAAGAGAAGGCTGTGCGCCTCTGAAGCGTACGATACTGATAATTTCCTTTTTACGTCTACTTTTAAATGACATTGCTCATCCTCGCTACGTGCGCGGTGCAAATAGATAAATAAAATACATCGTAACGGCCAAATTTACGTTCCGCGCCAGCGCGCGCGCACACTCGCCACGCGTTAATCCATCACCAGCGGGGAGGGCGTAGCGATCGATGCAGGCAACGGGCGAGTGCCGGTTGCCATGGCAGCAAGCGGAGAAGACATTTGGGCTCTTCATCTTCGTCGAGAGGCTTACTTTTATGGGATGTTTCAACACAACAGCAGCATATTAAAAAGACAGCAGCCGAGCACGAGACGGGCAAAAAAATAAAACGGGGCCCCCAAAGTCAAAACGAAGGAAAAGCGCCATCAAGCGGGGAGCCAATTTGGTGACTCAACTTTGAAATTGCAACTTAGAAGTCGACCGACTTCATATACTGAATAGCAAAAGAAGAAAGAGCCGTGACACTATGATTATACGGGGATGTTGTGTTTCTTCAATTCAAGGGTCCCTGAATGCGGCACGCCGTCAATTAACAGTGAGCTCGTTGGCGCGCCGCTGCCGCTGTTTTGTGATGCGTGGGGCTCTCACCTCAGGCCAAACGTGTGCGACTGCTCGTAGTGGAAGAGCGAACGGATCTTGGCGGTGGAATTCACGGCAATCAGCCTGTCAATCAAGTCCTGTGGAGCACAGCAGGAAGCCGTGAAGGTCACACATTTACGATGTTTCAGGCGGGAAGCGCGTGTATGTGTGCGGATTTGAGAAGCAACAAGTATGTTGCAATTCCAGTGAGCGTGAAAAGCGCACACATGCACTCAAGTGGATGAAAGAGGAACTGTCGACAACTGCAATGAGTGGCGGCAAAGCATGACGACTGTCAGAATATATTCAGTAAAGTGGCTCAAATCACTTTACCATAGTTCCTGAGCACACAAATGCCACCACAAGATGGCACCAAAACATTTTTTTTTTTTTGACAATCTCTTCTCTGTGTGCGTATGTGTGCGGATTTAAGAGAGAAGCAACAAGTATGTTGCAGTTCCAGTGAGCGTGAAAAGCGCACACATGCACTCAAGTGGATGAAAGAGGAACTGTAGACAACTGTAATGAGTGGCGGCAAAGCATGACTACTGTCAAAATAAAGTGGCTCAAATCACTTTACCATAGTTCCTGAGCACACAAATGCCACCACAAGATGGCCCCAAAACATTTTTTTTTTTTTGACAATCTCTTCTCTGTGTGTGTACCCGCGTGCTAGCCCACTCACAGGCACAGAGCTTGGCACTTCCCTCAGCGTGTATTCACTCTTGTTGGCCAAAGGTTGTCCAAACAGCAGCTGCCACACGGACTGAGAGGACGACAGCAAGTTGACCAGAGACAGGAAGGACTGCAAGTACACGCAGAAAGTGACCCAACCAAATCGGGTCAATAACAGAGATCAGAAATTACCGCCACAGCGCAATACCATTTAAACCTGATTCAGAAGCATGATGTCAATCTTACCAATAGTTCTTACAAAGCTTACGAATATTTCGGACATGCAAATGTGTTGGTGAGCGCGATAACCGCTGCGAACAAAGACATTAAGAAGCCAGTTTTAATTTACATATATTTATGTTTTTAAATGTGTTTAAAGCGTGCAATGGCAGATCCTCTGCGATTATTTTTAACTCGTGTATGTGTGCACGTGTGTGGATGTATGGCGGAAGGTGGGTGATTGACTGATTAAGTGATTGATTGTTGATTATAAAATATATATTTTATAATGTTCTTTTTAGTGGATAGTTTTCCTCAGCGTGGGGCGTTCACTGTACTCTGATATAAGACTGACCTTGTCTCAACTTACTCCCAAATGTACTTGTCAGTGTGAAATGTAGGCCTGTTTTGCTGGACCCAAAGCGACGATTCTGTTTTATGAATGGCGGATAAACAGGTTAACAGGACCTTCTGCCATCCTGTTTGCTGTGCATGTCAGTCTTTGTCACTGGATAACAGAGATGAGCAGAGATAGTAAATATGGTAATCCTTCGCTACAACACAGGTCATGGCAACTTCACGGATTTTACTTATGATGGGTTCTTATATTTATTTATTGAAATAAAATTATTTTATATTAAATTATATATTTATCTATATTTATACTGTCTACTGTTTTATGAAACATTTATTTATTTTGTGCATGCAACACTTTGGTTTTTTTCTTCTCTACCCCCACAATTTTGCTGCTGTAGACTGCAAATTTCCCCAATGTGGGACAAATAAAGGTTATCTTATCTTCTTTTTGGAATGTAAACCCCACGATAAACAAGGGATTACTGTAAATAATATGTGTTGGATCAATTAGGTGCAATTGGATCATTTCCAGCCGCGGTACAATTGTTGGGAGCCACGGAGTTAACTGTTAGCACCTTGAGGCAGCTCCTGTCGATGGGTTCCATTGACGTGGGTTCAGGTCGGACCACCCTGACATCCTCATTGCCGCACTCCAGCGCCGACCACAGCTCCAGAACCAGGGCCCCCACATATCCTGGCACATGACAACACAAGGAATTGGGGCATATTGTGTCTGAGGAGCATTATGCCCCGGTTAACAAACCTGTTTTTCAGGGGTGGTCCTGTTTCATGCAAATGAGCCACTGCTAACCCCGCCCTCTCTACTGCTGGGTGTACAACTGCTTTGTGTTACCATGACGACTGGGTTCAGGCTACAAGTTGTAACAGGCCAGACTCAGAATCAAAATAGCTCTGTTTTTGTTTTTTTGTTTTTGCAATATTTCCAGTATTACCGCCAACTACAGGACTGGAGTGGAAATACACCATAAGCATGTTCTTGCTGCAAACAAACTTCGTTGGACAGACGAAACAAAGCTGGCACACAACCTTGACGCCTACGAGCTGCAATGTGGTCGGTCGTACCTGAGCGCTGCAAAGCCATCGCGCCTGCCCCCGTGGCTGCCACCTGCGTTACCATGACACCATAGCCAAACTTCTCTCGACGACTCACCTGAAAGAAAAAAATAAGGGAGAATCGGGCAAATGGCACATATTCGAAAACAGACTTGAAAGAAAACGTATCAGTGGAGCGTTTAATTACACGGCAGATTTCAAGTGTGGGTGTTGGCCCTTCGTTCGTTAAAAATAATCACGCTCCTTAATTAAAGTGCAAACCAAACAAGGTAAGCAATTACAAGCGTGACTAAACAATGGCGCTAAATTAAGTGCAAGCGGTGGGTGAGGGTAAGCGATTTGAAAAGTTGTGCTCGGAATTAGCATAGCTGGCGACACACGGTGTGAATACTAAAGAGGACAAAAAAGAAATTATTAAACTTTGATTCCCACAAGTGCGAAGCCTGAAACCTTATCCGGCTCGCTGATTTTTTAACTTGGATCAACCGCTTTTATGACTCTGCAACTGGAGCGCAAAAACTCAGTAATATTTAAAGTCGACGTTTGACATAAACGGGCTATCACAAAGGAGCATTAGAACTGTAATTCTAAACGTTCAAACAAGTGCTGCTTCAAAGAGCTGTGTCAGAGATTTGCTTCTTCATACACAACACGCTGGAAATATGCTAGCTATGCCCACGCCCAAATATGCATCTTCCCTTCAGTCTGCTGGTGTGCCCGCTTTAGAGCGCCTCGTTGTTGGCCGCGAGTGCGTGCAAATCATGGTGAGAGAGGACCTGGGGATCATATCTGTTCCAGCAAGGATTATTACTTCGCCTTTCTTCAGTTGTATGTGTCTACATTTTTGGATGATTTTTTTTTTTTTTCTTGAAAGATTTTTTTTTTTTTATCGCCACATATTGATCACATCATATGGGGATTTTTTTATTTTTTTTTAAAACTAGTTTACCTGCAATTTTTTGTTAAAGCGAGAGAACATGTGTGAGACGCACTCCTGCATGGCGCCGGTCTGATGAAGCAGCAGCACGCCCTTGGGTGTGGCCGCAAAGTTCAGCAGGCTGTCCAGCAATGTCTCTTCCCACATTTGCCTGAGAAGTATGAATAGATGATTAAAAAAGAAAAATAAAAAATCTGTAGAATTTAGGTCCGGTTGAGAAAGTTAATAAATGCAATCAAATGCCACACTGTCAGAGGGTGTCAGCGCGGATATAGAAAACGATTTTATTGCCATCCAACAGGCATAAGTCATCAGCAAGATTGCCTTTAAATGTCAACGTAAGCTCAGCGGTCACAATATTAGGTCCAGCAAATGTAATGAAGGAGCTGTATCTTGAAAAAATAAAAAAATTTAAACAACCTTTGCCAATATAAAACAGAATAAAGCTCGCTTTCAGACCAACACTGTCAGTGAAGTTTTAAATGTTATTAAGTGATTCAAAATCAAAACAAAAGTGTGTTATTGATAGATGATGTGTGAATACAATGATTTTCTGATAATCTTTGTCAAGGAAGAATATTTTGAAACACCTCCGGTTGGATGATTGGTGGGAAAAAAAATTGTGCAGATTTCAAACTGAGGACTGATCATTAATTCAGTATACACACTTGGTGACATTTTTGATTGGCGGCTATGAGATTTTTCTCATGCCAAATATGTGACTTATTGTAAAGACTACATCCTGTATCTTGTGTGCTTTCTTACAGATGTCGCAATTTCTGCGTAGACGTTGCAAGATTGTTTTCAGGTACTGGGGTCGAAATCCTTTCAGACAAGGAACTGGTCTGCAAAAAAAAAAAAAAAAAACAACCAAAAAAAGGAATTCAGTGTTTGGATGCGGACAGGATATGAGGTCAGTGGCATCGGACCTTCCTCCAGGCGGCGACGGCAGCTTTGTGCAGGCTGTACGCTTCCAGGACCCGCAGGCCCTCGCAGGTCTTGTACATCTGTCCGCACACAGAGATGAAGGCCCCGCACACAGCACGGAGCGAGAGGATTTCGCCCTCGCTCGACGCCGAGAACTCCCGTTCGAGCAGCGAAAGCGTGAAGCGGAGCAGCACGTGAGCGGCGGTGCTTCTGCAGAGTGGAAACAGAAGTTTAGCTCAGAGTCAAATTTGCTGTTTTATTAACGACGTTCGGCATGCATCGCGCGACGGCGACTCGTGTAAAATTCATCACGCCGACAAGGCGGATGAAAATCACTCCCAAAGTGCAAGCGTCTCCGCGTTTGAATGAGTTCTCGAGCGCAGAGCTAAAAAATGCATGCGCGGGAAGACATATTGAGTAATATATCAAATGAACGCTCTTGATGAGTCGTTTTCAGTTCACTAGCCGTTTCGCCAAAACGCTCTCACATAGTGAAAAACATTTTATTTTTTTACTGGAAAATGTCACTGAACTCCATTTATAAACATTCAAATGAGATGCGCATTCACAGACACACACATCAAAAAATAAAAAATAAAAAGATGTTCAGTTTCGATTGCCACTGTGAGGTATCCAGTTAACCGTGTGTTAACCGTGTCGATCAAAAATGTGCCTAATTATCTTTGCAAAGGTGCGTGTTCTCCCTGTGCCTGCGTGGGTTTTCTCCGGGTACTCCAGTTTTTCCTCCCACATTCCAAAACCATGCATGGCAGCTGAATGGAACGCGATTCCTATATTGTGTCACGTGAAAAGTCTTTGACCCGTGGCGTCATTATTCGAGGATAAATAGACAACGTGATCTGGAAAGCTCTTATCGGGACCTTTAATTTGATGTCTGACTCAAGATGTTGACATTTACCAAGCTCGTGCGTTGGCAATATCACGAAAAACGTATTGACGGCTGTATTGATGACTCACCTTTCGTTGGGGCCCATAAGCAAGTTCCTGTCATACAAGAAGAGAGCTAACCCTCTGTCTGTGTTGACCATTCGAGCCAGGACGTCCGCGATTAGAGGCAGGGTGGCTGCCGGGCACTTCAGTTTGGTCTGCATAGAATATTATTTTTTAAAAAGTGAATTACAGTGCTAATATAATAAAAATGGATATTATCTTTGCAATTGATGAGGATTTTACACCTTGCACTGTTTCCAGATGACAATTCTCAACACAACCCGAGTCCTGAATGTGCTCATCATTTTTCATCGAAATGTGCAATTTTCCATGTAAATGCCCGAATTCATTCCAAGCCCCCCCCCAAATTCAGAAATACATGTTTTCTAAGGGATAAAAATGCATCAAAATATGTAACAAATACATACAATTAGATTTTTGCACAGTAAATAAGAGTTCTGCATAATGTAAAAAAAAAAAAAAAAAAAAGAATAAAGAATAAAAATTATGGTCACTTAACTTTTAAAACTGCGTCCTCATCGTTTTTTTTTGCCCTCTTTAGTTCGTGTTCTCTCACAGAAGTGGCTTTTGCCTGGTGTTTTGTAAAGAACTGATCCAAGGACGTTCGCTTTTGTCGGCTTTTAACAATCCTTCGAAAATGTCCAAGGCAAACATCAGCCTAGTGAGCGATCGCCCGACTGGTGCAAATTTTTTCTGGGTAATTCACATTTACGTAAAACTCTCAGAACGCCTCATGGCCCGAAGGGCGAATGATGAGGACGCTGCATAGACAAATATCTATCTATCTACACACAGACTTATACTATAGAGGTCCCTCTTAGCCAATGGGATGCCAGGAAGATGCTAGGTAATAGCCAATGGCAGAGCTATAAGTATGTTGCGTTCAGGAAACTCAGAGCTGTGAGTAGCAGCCCATGCTGTATTTTTTTTTTTACCTTTCATATCTTGAAATTTCTTTTGTAACTAAGGACAATATTTTCCTGTTGAGGCGTTTCGCAACTTCAACATTTCGTATTAAGAGACGTTTGTAAGTAGCGGTACCACTGTATAGGATTTGGGGAACAGACAAGAAATCAATGAAAAAGAAAAGAAATTCCACAAAGTCACCTGGCCTCCATTGAGGGCCTGGATGACGGGCACCATGAGAGTCTGAACGACAGGCGCTTGGTGGAGACACTGGTCAGCGCACTCGGTCCTCTCACACATGGCGCTCAGCGTCGCTATCACCAGGCTGCTTGGGCACAGCGCTTCTGACCAAAATAAATAAATAAATAAAACAGCCACGTTCAGTCAAGGAGTTTGAGGCACACTCTGTTTGTGGGATCTCTCTTCATGCGGGAATCGAATACGACAGCTGACAAGCGCTGTCGGGAGACAACAGGAGGCAGGCTGAGGACAAGGTTACCAGATAAAAGATAGCACCGAGGAATGCTGCGAAGGGTCTCGATGTTCCCGCACTGGCCGACTGCTCACTGCACTCTTTGTCATATCGAGCTAAAAGGTGTGTGCGTGCACGCACCTGCGTGTGAGCTATCGCTGCACAAAGGCTGATGATGTTGGTACATGATGTTGATGAGAATCACCACCAGGTCCGTCAAAGTGACTGGATCTGGAAAGAGTAAATGACTCGGTGAACAACAATTAAAACGCAGGGTTATGATTAATTCACTTGTACTTTGTCTGAAGGCGTAAAATGAAATTACACAAGCATGAGTCCATTTGGTCCACACCTTTTTACAGCGGGTGGGGTTGGGGTGATGTGGCGTCTTTAAAATGGAGTTGTGCGTCGAAGCGTTGATAACGGGATCAATTCTCAAACATATTTGAAGCAATATAAAGTGCCTCGGGGTGTACTTTTTAGGAGCTCCAGAGGCTGGTATACTAAATAGATTGGCGACGCAAAATTCAGTTCGACTATTCACCTGGAAAAAAAAAATTGCTTTATTGAATGTTTTGTGTGCATAGAATTTAATTTTTTTTTACGTGTGTTTTTATTCAAATGTATTTCTGACTACGTAATATTTGTAATCTCTAGTTATGAAGATTATCGGTTGCGTCACAGGTGCAAATCCAATGTCAAGATTGTCTTTCCTCTTTGGAATCAATAAATACAAAAAGATCAGTCATAGGTGAGCGCGCCTCGATACTGCGATACGGCATCAATAAAGCTGTGGGTGCAGACAATGAGTCGTCTGTCAGAGGTTCAGTTTATTACGACTGATTAAGCCGTCTGGATGCTTGGACTGTTATGTCAAATTGGGCCACGTCATGATTCGTGAGATTATAGGTTGTAAATGCATAAGGCTGCAGGAAAAGTTTCCACCCTTATCTTTCAAAACAGGACTTTTGTTTTGTTTTTTTTTCTTCAAAGTGACACTGCAGAAAATGCAGGAACACAAATTAAGATTCAGTCGCTCGTTTGGCAGATAAATCCGATTTCGTGAACAGGAATCCGAGAATATTTTCTGCCGAGGGGCTGTAATTCTGAGGACATAGATCAGGGGTGTCAAACTGATTTTTGAATTATCGATTACTTTTTTAAAATTTTGACATGTTCAGAAAGCCGCAATGGGAAGGGTTCACCTTTCCGCGCCGCCGCTTTGATGGGAAAGAGCTTCCGGCCATTGGCGTAGAGGAGGACTTTGCCCAACACGCACAAGGAATGGACGACCACGGCATACTGCAGCTCCTTTCCACTGTAGACGCTGCCAATTGGCGAGCCTGAAAGACAATGAGGACATGGCACAAGGAAGTGGGGCTAGATAATATGGCCTTAGAATCAAATTTCTTTTCCCATTTGCTCACATTAAAAAGAAGAAAAAAAAAAGCTTGCCTCTTAACACCGTCACATTCTTTCATCTACGAAACAACTTTTTCCACTCACCTGAGCTGTGCGGCTCCTCAGAATGGATCTGAGTGCAATGCTGGCAGCATTCCAGATAAAGGATGCACTGCTGCACAGCGGCCTCCATCTGAGAAGATGTTATTCCCCAAAAATGACCACCTTTCCAAAATTGATAACTCATATGAACACCCGCATTCAATTTTTTTTCTTTTTTTTTTTTTTATAGTGCACTGACTCCATCGTGGGATTATGTTGCTATTTTACTGACAGTTAATTTAGAGGCCGTAAAGGGAGGGACTCGGCAATAATCCTCTTTTAAAAGGCTTGACAGTGAGCGGGAGGATTAACGAATCACTTCTTGAATGGCAAATTCTCTCCGTGGAAGCGCCAAAAGTATAACGCGATCCGTTCCAACGACACCCGCTAACGTGTTCACATTTGGCGACAAACACTGTATGTGGAAATAATTGTGAAATGATCATTCGCTCACCAGATTTTTGTATTTGCTCTGGAGGAGCCTGAGAACCAACGTCCTGCTGTAGGAGCCATGCTGAGAACAGACACAAATGACATTCAGACGCCCATAAACGTGCACGGTACATCGCGCCCGTTTCAGTTGCGACGCCCACCATCCATTTTGTGAACCAGGCGGCTTGAACATCCAGCAGGGCCAGCAGGTCAGTGGGCCCCAAGACTTTCTCCGGTGAGGAATCCCCATGGACAGACAGGAGGGAGAAGGTGCTCTCGATGATTTCTTCCATGTACCTGAAGGCGAGCGAGAGGATCGGCGGATAATCTCAGCATCGGAAAACGAAGCGAGCATGCGTGTTGGGGGCTCACTTTTCCGGGTGGCGGATCCAGAAGGTGGTCGCCTCCTTTTGAAAGTCGTTCATCAGGCGCATCTGAGTGGAGGGAAGATGAGGATTGACTGACATGTTATGTTGCAGGCAAATGGAAAAATGGAATTTTTTTGCTTAAACAGGCAGGGAAATGTAACTTTTTTTTTCATTAAAACGGTCAATTTGGTGACAAAAGGCGAAATTATGTGGGGAATTGTGCCGTTTTGCCAGGAAATGACATTTGAGGATTTACATTGATAGGCTTGAGCATACCTGTTTGAGGAGAGAGCTGATCTCGGGTCTGTTGATGTCCAAGACGGCCGCGCCGCTCGGAAAGCTCAACTTCAGGGACAAAAAATTGGACTGCACACTTCGAGCTGAGCAAGAGACAACAGAAGTTATTAACGTGAAGAACTCCACCGAGGCCAAACGGGGTGTACTGTAGTCACGATCCGTAACTCAGGTAACAACTGCAGATCATCTCACAAAGTTTTTAGAAACAACTCCACGCCACGATACTTTGGGGCTGGGCGGCAAAGACCGAGCAACAGCACCAAGCAGAGGTATGGATGAAATTAAGTGAGTGGCCTACCGAGGCTGCTGTAAATCTCCCGGGTGACGTTCAGCGGCAACGAAGAGAAGCTCTTCGCGAAGAACCGAAGAACGTGGTCCTGAAACGACAAGATGCCATGTAATTTGATTCAACGTGAATTTGGCACTACTGGGCAGAATGGACTTTGTTCAATCACAAAGATTACATTTTTGATTTCAAGTTTTCGCCATTCACTTGTCGGAAAAAAAAAAAACAATGAAGAAGAAAGTAAATCAGTGACATATCACAAATGTTGTCGCTATTTTCTTAATCTTAAGTGAACGGCGGCGTACACTGAGCTCGGCGTCGGGCTCGGTCAGCGTGGCGCACAGGTTCTGGCGTAGGCGGGCCCAGCCCTCGCAGCTGAGCACGTCAGAAGCCGGCGCGTGACGGAGCGCCTGCAGGGCCTCCCGGCGCACCTATCCACACACGTGCACACACACACAAATGACAGACACATTTTTAAAAATAAATAAATCCATTGCAAATTTAAAGTCAATATTTTTTGCCTTCTTGCATTGCCATTTATGGCTAAAAGAGGAGGGGCTATCACAGGAGTAGGCAAACTTGTGCTCAAGAGGAACATTATGTGTTTCTTTCTGTGAAGGACAGATGGGCCACAGAGACTGAACTGACAGAGGTTTGATATTTTCAGAATAAAAAAGATCAAGTGAGCATTCTTGTCTCTGTGAAGGCCGGACTTTTTTTTTTTTTTTTTTTTTTTAATTGTGGGCATCTTCACCTCTTTGGGTTGACTTGGATCTAGTTTCTCAGCCAAAGCCTGCAGCTGCTCCTGTCGAATGAAGGTGTAGCACTGGAGAAATGGATGGAATAATAAATCTTGTTAATGCCCAACTTGGACCCTGATAATAATAATGATAATAATAATAATAATAATAATAATAATACACTTTACAATATATAGAGATTTTACAAGCACGTGCGACATCATGGTAAAATGTCCTCTACTACAGGCTGAAACAAGGATGTGTCTTTTTTTTTTAAATTACCTGATTGAAGGAGTCTCCACTGTCTGAGCAGTCGTCAGCGTAGCGGCCGTGCTGCATCTCCTCCTCCTTCCGTAGCTGGTCGTCGTCAAAGCTGCTGAGTAAACGCTCCGCAGCGGCAGTCACGGTGGCTCTCAAGGTCTGTGTCATCTCCTGGTACCTGATGATGACGCAACGTGCCAATGTTAGCACTTTCCTAAACACGCGCCGGTATGCCCGGGTTGGACTCACTGCGCCGATGCTTGGCTGCGGCCGGTCGCTGTGTGAATGAGGGCGTCGTGACATGAGTCAACGGTGTGTTGTCCATCTTCACGGGACAACTTCCCGAGCTCCTTGTCCACCACGCACCCTAGGGAGGTCTCCACACGCTGGCGCAGGTGCTGGACAAACTCATAGCTGGGGAAAAGACAAGTAATTTTTACAAAATTATCCATCCATCCTATCCATTACTAGAAAACCACTTCTCTTTTCAAGAGCTCACTTGTGGAAGTTCTTGTCGGTCTCCTCCAGGTGAAGAAGGACTTCCTCTGCACTTTGGGGCGTTGGGGCGCCAGAAAGTCGCTCGTCGATGCTTCTCAAAAACTGCTTGAGCAGAGATGCCAGCTGCTCCTCATCTTCGGAAGACATCTCTGTTGCAAATGAGAATTCCCCTGACACGTTGAGTGATTCTAACCTTTGCAAAAGCCGAATTTCTGGTGGACCTACGATTGATAGATATAGCAAAGCTCCTCAAACCCAATGTAGCAGGTACAAGCCATACGTTGGTCTCATTTATTTAAATTAGCTGTATATCAAAGCTAAATGCTTCCATGTCTATCTGAGCATGTTTTCGACATCATGGACACCCAGGTCCATGCACTTGAACACTTTTTGTCCTCACTAGTAAGACGATTCAGTGCACTAGCACGACGACTATAAAGATTTTGTTGCCCACAACTGTATGACATTTTTGCATTCTAATATAGATTTATACATGTTCCTTGTGGGGTAAAACTGTGCACTAGTTGACAACAACTGCTGCTACTATTGAGGCACAAGATGTTAACTAGAATTTAATAATAACTGACCAGTAATATTCAATATAAGACAATACGGCGCACTCACAGAATAACAGAAACACTCGCAATGGGGGGGGTAATTAGTAAACTACGGTCATTCTCGTATTGGAATAAATGCTACACCTACTTTCCAGGCTGCTGTTGAACAAATTCTAACTTAGCTCAATGTTACTTTCCACCGCAGAGAAGTAAGCGACAAGACACCACAAAAATAAGCAAACCTACAAATTCGCCGTGTCGAAACGCACCTGGCGTGCCTTTGACAGGTTCTCTTCAAATTAGTAACGCAATCAGCCAGGCGCCATTGCGTCGCTATGGAAACGGCCATCAAACCGCGGTGCATTGTGGGATCACAAACCGTGCAACGTTCACGCAACAGATTACAAAGAAAGCGCGAAATGCGTATGATTCGTGGACCTTAATTGGAAATTAAACTAAAACAAATAAATGTCAACCATAAGGTATGCAGTCTTATATTGGTCTGAAATAGTCGCAAAAATTAGAAAAACGTTGCCATAATGACAACGCACGGATTTTCTGAGGAGACATCGAATGCGTCATTTCTGCTTCCGACACAACATCACGTGACTCTTTGTTTTGCTCCTTCTTCCGGGGTTCATTCAAGCCAACAATCTCTGCTGGATAAATCGGCTGTCAAACTGCATTCCAAACACGTTCGCATCAATATGTTATGTAGCAATATTTGATTAGCATGACGGACCTCTCATTTTACATGTCATCGGGCAAACACAACGTTGCGTTCGTAAACTAACTCGAAGGCCAGCATCGCTAGAATTACTTTTGAGGGAAAGCATGGCGGCAGTGGACAGCTTCCATTTACTGTACAGGGAAATTTCCCGGTCGTGCGGCGGATACCTGGAAACGCTCGCCGTGGTGGGCGCTCTGTACACGGCCAGCAGGGCTGTCATCCTGCTCAGGGACTGCTGCGTGCTGGTCAGGGTGCATTTCCTGCCCAGGATGATCCCCGGCAGGAAGCTGAGGCAAACATATGGAGACTGGGCTGTCGTGTATGGTAAGAAATAGCATCGCTGGGAAAAGTACTTCAGTAAAAGTATAGATTGTTGTTTTGTTTTGTTTTAATTATTTTGATTGAAAAGAAAACCCCAAAATTAAAATTGAAAAAAAATATTTTCATGAACAGAACCAAACACAATTTTTCATTGAAAGTAAATAAATTCTGTGTCATACAGGCCTTGATTTTCTCCAGGTAGGACAAAAGTGGCATTAATAAGAAAGTAAAGTTTTTGCTCAGAAGGACATAGAACTGACTGTCATCCGGATAGCAGTGAAATGGGCAGCAAGTACAATGAACACCAGGGGCCCCAAAATTGAACCCAGTGGAACACCATATGACAGTGTGGCAGGACAAGACTCAGAGCAACCGGGGATAACACAAAACCTCTGTCTGCCAAATAGTTCTAAAACACTCTGCTGTAGAGCACTAACTAACCACTAATGTCCACCTGATGCTGCAAACGAGCCAACAGAACACTGTGGTCCACCATATCAAACGAAGCAGTCAGGTCCACCAAAACGAGAGACACATACAGTAGTCTCCACTATCATTAAAAACCCATAAAAGGGCTGACGCTGTCATACAAAAAACAACGCATTCCAACAACTCACCATCAACACCACTTTCCAGCCACTAATCCATATGCCTCCCATCAGGTGCATCGGAGCCTGTGGCACAGGCCTACGCCGAGGAGCTGGCCCAGCACGGTCTCAGCATCATCTTTGTCACGTACGGGCGCTGCAACATCGCCGACTTTGTCGCAAATCTCTCCCAGAGCCACGGCGTGGAAACAATCCTGGTCCACGCCGACCTGGGCTGGGACAAGGCGGCCAGCAAGGTTGTTGTGGAAGCCCTGAGGGGCAAAGATGTGGGTTTCCTGGTCAACTGCGTGGACGAGGCGTGCACGTCACCCCGGGAGCTGGTGGAGATATCCGAGCAGAGGCTGATGGAGGTGACGGCCAATAACGTGGTGGGCGCCACGTTGCTAACCCGCTTGGTGCTGCCGGGAATGCTGGAGCGCGGGCGAGGGGCCGTGGTCAACATCTCGTCCGCCCCCTGCTGCATGCCGACACCTGGGAGAGTGATGCTCAGTGCCGCCACGGTGAGAACAAACATTTATCACAAATAATATTAACCCTTTCATGCACCCTATAACCGCATAAAATGATAAACTGTGCACTGTCGTAACCGCTGTCCCTGAAAGGGTTAATATCGTATTACATTCATATTTGCTTTTCAGGGCTACCTGGATCAGTTCTCGAGAGCTCTCCACCTTGAATACAGTGCAAGAGGAATCTTTGCTCAAAGTCTGCTTCCATTCCAGGTCTGTCATATGCAAAAATGTCAATGAAAGTACAAGAAAGCACAACCTGTAATGGAGAACACCCACTCAGGTTGTTTTGTTTTTTTTAGGTTGTTTTGATCCAAATCCTTTTGGGGGACGGTTATTGAGGGGTTTTTTTTTCCTCCTATAATTCTTGGTTGAAATGTATTTATTCTTTTTATTCTGAGCAATTATGTAAGCACCGGGATAAAAACCATCAAGGAAAATAGCAATAAAAGATCAAATTTTGCCTGTATTTCATTGGCAAATTGACAATCAATGAAAATAATTATAATTTTATAACTGGAATGAAAATATAAATATGGTGTTTAACGCCCAGGTGGCCTCCAGTAGTCAGCGCCCGGCGTCGTCCACTGAAGGCTGGTTGGCGCCCACGCCACAGGTTTATGTCCGCCACGCCATCTCCACACTAGGCGTGTCCAACCGGACCACCGGCTATTGGCCACACACGCTGCTGGTGGGCACCCAGCATCTCTTTCACACAAACACGTGCTTTATGGATTATTTGTGATCTATAAATTGATGAAGTATGTTTCCTTTCTCCCCAGTACGGATTGATGAGATGCATCCCGGAGTCGACTTGGGTTTTGGGCTGGCGGGTGTTCATTGGTTAAAAGTGGCTCGTCATAAATTGTATCGTTCGTCCTTCAGACGTGTAGAGAAGAACATATGAGGTGGTAAAGTTGTGTTGTAGCCTCTCATGGTCAAACAGGGGCGGCCAAACCTTTCCATCCTACACACTCCAGTAGCCTGGAGTTGCCGCAAAAAATACTGTCACTTTTCTGCATCAAATGAGCACTAAAGTTTTCCCACCCTTGGTGTTATATGGACCAATATTTTTCCTTTTCGAGCTGCTTTTTGGCTCTTGGTGGAATTTCTCGTGAATCATTTCCACTAGCTGGCCCGTACACGGTGACCGTGCCAGCAACTGGAGCTTGTCCAGGACTCGCTGTTACCGCCTCCTTGGACTATTTGTGCTGACTTGGCCCTCAAAATAAATGCATAAAGGTACTTCAAATAAGATTGGTTCTTTATTCTGACTTTTGGATCTGTCACAAAGTGAAATGAGATTCAACAAGTGTTTGGATGAACCCAAGCTGAAGCAAAACGACTTACCCTTTTACGAACCATGGTCAGAAAAGTAATACGAAGCACCCTGTTCTTCCTCCTATACTGTCGAGAAATGAGACAAAGGTCACTTTGAGGAAAACAAGAGTCAGAACTTTGAAAACTTGGCTTTCATTGAAGACTTAGCCGTGACAGGTTGTTTGTATATGCAGTGGTGCCACACAACTTGCCCTTCAAGTCCGCTAACTTCATGCTAACACAAAGGGAAAAGCATTAGACAGGCTAACAAATAGCATCCGTACGGCGCCGTTATAATGCTTCAAGGAACAGCTATTTGAACAAAAACGGTGCAGCAACCTAGAGATGTGGACGGAGAATATAAAAATGCCTCACAGGCATATCTTCTTTATCCTCTGCAAAAAATGACAAACAGCATTACGAGAGATTACGGAGTCACTAAAAGTAGCTGGGTAGAACTTGTTATAGTACCACCCGGTGGCCATGTCTCGGATAGCACAATTAGAGAGAAACATGTATTTTCTGATTTATTTGTGATGGTATTGGTTTTTATAAAGTACAACATAGATTGCTAGTTTGATTCAAAACACATTCCAAACATTTTGGTTGTTTTTTTTTGTTTTTTTAGGTTGGAACGGACTAGTCGCATTTCTGTTCATTTCAATAGGGAATGTATTCTATGTCAGGATCAGGGGCATGGAACAAAGAGGAATAATATTTAAACAACAACATTTCATCTGTAAAAGGAGTCTGCAAGCTTAATGCTAACAAATATTGTGAAATGCCATCTCCACAGGCTTATGGAGATCAGCATCAATGTCACAGCAGTTTTAAAGCTTCAAACAACTGCTACCTTACCACACACAGAGCGGCAACACATACAGACACAGCATACAACAATACTCACAGGCATTGATATAACAGTCCGCTTGCATCAGGGCCAGTTTAGGCAGACCAAACACGGCGCCGTAGGCCTGCTTCCAGAAGCTTCCAGGCTTCTGCTGTTCGAAGGTTTATTGTGATGCGTAGGACGGAACCCTCCTGATAAGTCAGCACCGGAACAAAACGACGGGACGACCACACGCTCACTGTCTCCCAACGAGCGGCCGGCGTTCCTCATCTTCTCTATCGTCGGTATGTTCACCTACACGGACACTTCATTAGGTACACAATCTAAATACTTTGATGCAAATCAACAAATACAAGCGCTAGATGCGAAAATTCCGCCGTGTGAAGATTCTTTACATTCTTTTCATTGAGACTGTTGACGTTTGTGCAACTGTATCATCATGTGAACTGTTCCTAATATTTCAACCCACTCGTGGCGCCAATAATCATAATAGCTTAGATTTTAATCGCATCTTTCAGTGAACTCAAGGATGTTTGCAAAAAAATAAAATAAAAATAAGCGAAATTAATTCCACTTTAACATTAAAGTTTGTGATTTTGTTGAATTTAGATATCTGTGAAACATTTTTTAAAGAAAGTAAGGTAACCAAAACTTAATAGTGATACTAATGTAATGGTATAACTTGACTCGATGGGATTTTGTGTGTCTCTCTGTGTGTGTGTGTGTGTGTGTGTGTGTGTGTGTGTGTGTGTGTGTGTGTGTGTGTGTGTGTGCGCGTGTGTGTCCGTCACTTGCAATCATCCAAGGTTAAGTTCTGGCTTACGAACAGATAAAGTGAGTTGTGTGTGTGTGTGTGTGTGTGTGTGTGTGTGTGTGTGTGTGTGTGTGTGTGTGTGTGTGTGTGTTTGTGTTGAGAGGGTTTTGTGTTTCAAGGGTAGATTTACACACACTCACCAGCTGTGACTGCAATCAGACTAGTTTTTCTTTCTGTGACCTTCGAAGACCCGTGCTGCTGTCACTAACATGGCTACAAAATGCAACTGGGACCTATGTAACCTTTGTAATAAACAAAATCTATCATAAGAAGACCTTGGTGTGGGGGGTGGAGTGGCCGGAGGAATCATACAAGTGGAAATTTTGCATTTGGGGGGCAAATGAGGCAGTGCGCCACCGGATCTGGCAAACGGCGAGCAAAAAAAAAAAAAAAAGATCCATGAAAATTCTGCTCACTTACTTTGTTTGCTAGCCAGACTTTTAGTTGTGACGTTTTTTGTACCAATATTGTATTAATATAATGAATTCTGATGTTACAAATAATGATGTAAATTTGGCGTACATTTGACGTACGTTTATATTTTTTTGCCAAACATGCTGTACATTCAACGCAAATGTGACATCTATTCGTTCATATTTGAAGCTCCGCCAGCACATTTTGACGTAAAATGGACATACATTTGATGTCTATTTAACATTCTAGATGACATATTTCTATTTTTCACGTTTGTTTTGCTTAAAAATGTGATTGGAACATTTTGCTTGTAACATATCGGTCCACGGCCTGGTGGTCGAGGACCACTGCACTCAAGGAAGGACAAGTTGTCATCTTGTTTCCCGATTTAGGGAGCGTGACAAGCATTGTGCGGAAATGGGCGAATGGAATCTCTTGGGCCGCCTGCTGGACAAAGTGCAGTCGCACTCCACCATCATCGGAAAAGTCTGGCTCACGGTTCTCTTCGTCTTCCGCATCCTGGTCCTGAGCACGGGCGCCGACAGGGTCAGCTCACTCGAAATGGACTTGCTACACGTTTAATGTTGTAGTCTAAGTTATAAATAAGTTTTATTCGAACCTTTAGCACAAATGTTAGTCTCGCAGCATTCTCAGAAATTAGATTTTTTTTTTTTTTTTTATATAGCCATGAGCATTAATGTTTTTTGTCGCCATTATATCAAATAATAATTCAATATTTGCCAATAAGTACAAAAGATATTTTTGGCATTCATGCTAATAATTAGCATGAATGCTTGATTACCAGCATTCAAACTATACTGTACCTAAAAATGTTTTGACATTGAATAGCTTTTAGCTTCTGACAAGAATTAGCATTAGCACAAAACGTTCATCTCTCAGATTTTGTAGGATGTGTGTGTAACTGTCAGGACTGGCAATGGTGTGACTTGACTTCCGACTTACTGAACCCGTTTGACTCGACTTCAACGAAGACTTACGACTGACTTATACAAATCTGACTTCTGTCTCGCTAACACCTAGTAGATGTTAATTAAAATGGCGGAGGGGTGTGTCCCGGGTTGCAGGTGTGGGGCGACGAGCAGTCGGACTTTGTGTGCAACACGCGACAGCCTGGCTGCGAGAACGTGTGCTACGACCACGCCTTCCCCATTTCGCATGTGCGCTTTTGGGCCCTGCAGATCATCGCCGTGGCAACACCCAAGCTGCTCTACCTGGGCTATGTCCTCCACGTCATTCACGTCGAGAAGAAGGTAGAGTATTGTGAAAAACTGAGTAATTGACAGCCCGCCCCCATTAAATGTTTATAATCACCAATATTAATAGCTTTAAATTAAATAAAACACAAATTGGCTAAGAGCAAACAGCTTCAGTACAATGGATTTTGTTCACAGCCATTAGCATGGATATTTTTCTGTCAGCTTTCTCTGTTTTAAAAGAAAATTTGATTTGGAGGGCCCTCAGTGCATTTATTTTTGTCTAAGCATTGGCACGATAAGGAGTAAAATGTCTTAGCATGGTTTCCCCGTGTTCGCAGTTGAAGGAGCGTATGCGGAAGCACGCGGAGCTTGACGACCAGGCTTTGTTGTTCCTTCAGAGGAGCTTCAAAATGCCAAAGTACATCAAGAGCAGCGGAAAGGTGCGTAATTTACAAATACTGTACAGAATTAGGAGAAGTTATTTGGCCAATTTTCTGCTTTGACTTGCGAGCAAAAATTTCTGCTATGATGAGCGCTGGCTGGATGGTGGCAACAAAGTTATTCACATAACTGTTGACACTATTTAGTTTAAACGGTGTCAATTTGAAAGAATAATCAAGCAAGAATTATTTCAGCACGGCCTAGTTTTTGTTGAAATTGATTGAACGTGATCCACTGTAATCCTGCTTTTTATGCCTACAGAAAGGGATGATGTGGGTTGATTTTATCATGTACATCTTTGGCCATGATTATTCATGGATTTATCCAGCTATTGATTGTATCGATTTATCGTATCTCCCGTATAGATTTTTCATATTTCCTCTATGGATTCATCTTATGTCTTGTATCAATTTATCATATCTACCATACAGATCTACTGTTTTGATCTAAACATTTCCTGTATTGATATCGTACCTCTTGTAACAATTTATCATATCTACTGTGTAGATGTACGGTATCAATCAGGGACGTAACGAAAAGCCATTTGAATCGGACAACTGTTTTTTATTTAACCAAACCCAAACAAATAGCTACATTTTAAATGTCCTGTCATTGAATCATATCAAACAGAATCGGATCGGACTCCCACTGTATCCCACCGAATCAAATCATTTCACTTGAAAATGTACCATTATTGAGTCATATCGCATATATGGAGATGGAATTGAGATGCGCACTCCTAATATCCTTCCATCTTTCTTAGGTAAGCATCCGGGGACGCCTCCTTCGTGCCTATGTCCTCCACCTGCTGGCCAAAATCGCCCTGGAGATCGTGTTCGTGGTGGGCCAGTACTTCCTCTACGGTTTGACGCTGGACGCCCGCTACGTGTGCTCGCGCTCACCGTGCCCCCACCAGGTGGACTGCTTCCTGTCCCGACCTACCGAGAAGACCATGATCATTTGGTTCATGCTGGGTGCCGCGTTGCTTTCGCTGGCCTTGAGCGTGGCCGAGCTGCTCTACTTGTGCGTCAAGGCGGCCAGGGAGTGCGCCGCCCGGCGGCGCGACTACACAGTCACGCCCGTCACGCCCGTCACACCGGCGCCACCCGCGTCTCAGAGAAAGGCTTACACGCTGAGAGAAGACGCCGTCACGCAGAACGGAATCAACGCTGAGCTAGAGATGCAGGGACGCAAGTTTGGGGTCAATGCGGCCAATGAGATGGCGGGGAAAGGGTTGCTGGGCAACACGGGGGAAGTGCATATCTGAGCAAGGTGTCCCTGTGCCAAAGTGTGGGGGGCTTTGTACCATTTCATTTTCAAGCAAAAAAGTGCGGGTGTCCAACTATTTTCACTGCCAAAAGTATTGAAAAACCCGCACCCCCCGAAGGGTCCGACACCCATGTTTTTTCAAGGTTTGATATTGATAACAGTGGGTAAAGTGTGGGTATAAAAGCATTTTCTTGGAAAAAAAAAATTGAACAGCTGTAATCATTGACAAAATCATTTGGCTTTGATGTTTGGCATTGTGCTGATTTGCTTCTGTTTTCTCAATAAAGTTTCTGATTCAATTCATTTCAGTGGCAAATATTTTGAACACTGTTTAGCATTCTGCTAGCGTTTCCAATTTTTTTTTTCATTAAAATATCATTTTTTTCCACTACTTGGTGTCAATGCTCATCTCTCAATTTTTTTGAATGTTCCTCTCCGAGCATTCTGCAAAATGACATTGGGGGGGGGGTTTAATTTAGCAATTAGCTTATCTGCTAATGCACGTTTTAGCATTTGCACAATAAGTTGAATTTCATATTCTTTCGCAGTCACAAATATATTTGTTTCGACGCATTTGCGCAATATGTAGAAATGTTTTGTGTGTGTGTGTGTGTGTGTGTGTGTGTGTGTGTGTGTGTGTGTGTGTGAGCATGTGCCGACAGCGATTAGATTGTTGCTGGTGGGGCTGTGCTGTTACCTGTCAATCATTACAGCGGGGCCCACCCCCTCCACTTTCACTGGCAGTCCAAAGTGTCAGAACAAGGCGGGGTGCCTGTTTCACCATTCAACCAATCATCGCGGAGTACCCTGTATTTGAGTAGAAGTAATACAAACAGTGTAAATTAAAAAATACATAAATATGTACACACAGGTATATGTACAGTCCTCTGGTAAAAGTAGAAGTACTCGCTCAATTTCTTGATTGAAGAAGCAGTGAAAAAGAATCACAGACCCTGCAGTGTACTTCAGTACAAAAGTAATATTACATTTTGTCTGTCAGCACTTACAATACCCATTTTGAGCACAGAAAAATACTCGAGTACCACGCTGAGAAATTTGTACTTCACCCCCCTCACACTCCAGCCCAACTCCAAGGTTCAGCTCAGTCAGCACTCGGCCGCAGCTTCAGCCAGTCCACTAAAACGCGCTCGTCAGGTAAGATGACAGCACCAATTTCCATAAAGTGATTTATTCTTATTAAATTTTTTTGGTGGGGATTTTTCCTTGTGAGAGTGATTTCCCGCCGTTTGGGGCCTTGTGTCACTTTTGAATTCACTGATGTCGGTTTGTGTTTTCATCTTGATTTTGCGAACTTCACACAGCTGCTCTCGCTCCTTTCACACGCGCTCTGCGGTGGGAGGTGGGCAACCGCAAACGTGTGGAAATGTATTCTTATTTTTTTTTCTCTGATAAAAAACGAAATTCAAGGTCATTTTAAATGCTAACATGAAAAAAAAAATTTGACTTCCAAGTTCAACGATACAGCTTTATTTATATGGCGCTTTCACAACAGCTCCGGCTACAACAACATGATTGACAGAACATGTAATACGAATGCTATTGTGTTAAAAAAAAAAAAAAGTTCATTCTTGTTCAATTAGCGATGTTGTTTGGTTCCAGAATACCAACTGAACGTCATCCTCAAAAATGGGAGACTGGGATTTCTTGTCAACCCTGCTGGACAAGGTCCAGTCGCACTCCACTGTCGTTGGAAAGATCTGGATGACGGTTCTGTTCCTGTTCCGGATCATGGTCCTGAGCACCGGCGCCAACAGTGTGTGGGGCGACGAGCAGTCCGACTTCATCTGCAACACCAAGCAGCCCGGTTGCGAGAACGTCTGCTACGACTGGACCTTCCCCATCTCGCACATCCGCTTCTGGGTCCTCCAGATCATCTTCGTGTCTACGCCTACGCTGGTCTACCTGGGCCACGCCATGCACGTCATCCACCAGGAGAAAAAAATGCGCGAAAAGCTGGCCAGCCCCGGCGGTCCGCGCCGCCTCAAGTCGCCCAAGTACACCGACGACAAGGGCAACGTGACCATCAAGGGGAACCTCCTGGGGAGCTACCTGACCCAGCTGATTTTCAAGATCATCATCGAGGCCGCCTTCATCGTGGGTCAGTATTATCTGTACGGTTTCATCATGGTCCCCATGTTCCCCTGCTCCAAGAAACCGTGCCCGTTCACCGTCGAGTGCTACATGTCGCGGCCCACCGAGAAAACCATCTTCATCATCTTCATGCTGGCCGTGGCGTGCGTGTCCCTCCTGCTCAACGTGACCGAGGTCTTCTACCTGCTGTGCAACCGATGCAAGGCCAGGTCCCGATCCAGAGGGATGTTTGCAATCAACTCTGTTGAGAACCCAGCAGGGCTTACGAATCCAAGGTGGCCTACGGTCAACGATGCCCTGATCCAGAATAAGAAGAACCTGGACTTGGAGATGGAGATCAGTCAGAGTCTTGGGGGGAGTCTGGATGGAGCCAAGGAGGAAAAGCAGATGCTGGGCAACCACTAGGACTCTTAGCATGTTAGCATGCCAGCAAGGATCTTGGTTTTGCTTTTGATGGTATTCATTATGTGTAGCTTTCTTTGTCCAAATGTACAAATCAAGTGCAGCACGATTGTTGTTGCATTGAGGTTCATTCTTTACTCGATGGTTTTTGAGTCTGTGTAACTTATGTGCTAAATACAGTCGATGGAATAATGATAATGGCCTAAGCCAGAGTCTGGGAGGGAGTCTGGACTCGGTTCGGAAGAACCAGCGGCTGCTGAAGATCAACGCATGTTAGCATGAAACTTAGCTTTGCTTTTATGGAATTGATTTTGTATTTAAGTTTGAAAGTGACCGTTTCGAAATGGGCGGGATGATGAGAATGATGACTGCGACGAGATTTGACGGCACAGGAGGCTTGTGGTTAGCACAGCCGCGTCACACTTCTCAGGGTGGCGGCAAGGGCTGTTAGCGTGTTAGCATGCTAGCAGGTAACTTCACTTGACTTTGATGGAATTTATTTTGTGATTCTTCCCCCCTTTCTCAAAAATGTAAAAATCAAGTGCCATAATGTCACTGTATGTATGTCCATTCTTTGTTATGATTTTTTTGATTCTAAGTTATTGTTTCATGCGTGAAAATATACAAAATAATAACGATCATGATTATGATCCTGGATAGTGCTTGTTTCTATTCATTTTTTGTTCCAAGTGGTGCACGCCTTGTATGTTTTTAGAAAAATGATTAAAGTTTGATACAAAAACTGTTTGCTGAATTTATTATTGAGTGAACAATAAAACGATTTTTTAAAAATTCATATATTTAACCAAGAAAATGGTTTCCTGAAGAAGGGACCACCACTACATGATAAATGATGATGATGATCATCAGGATCAATAGAATATCAGAAGTATATAATATAGTGCCATATTTATATGTATTACTGAGGTTATGAATTAGCTACGATTATCATCGATTTGACTCGACTCATATGGATGCATTAAGTTGCATCAACGTAATTCAGTTTTCTCGACATTTATTTGTATGAACCCTTTTGGGCATGGCGATTACTACAGTGGACAGCTTATCAGGTTGTCATTATTTGTGCATGAAAGGGCAAATTCTGCTATGTAATGCATATTTTCAACAACTTTATTTCACGTGGTGTCATTTTCGACACCGCTCATCCCGTACAGTAGGGGTGTCAAACTCATTATTGTCGCGGGCCACATTGTAGTTACGGGTTCCCTTGTAGGGCCGTTATGAATTTTGGGAAACCATATAAATGTTGAATCCCCTCCCCATATTACATACACAGCGCACAACGAATTGACGAATAACTAGTTTTAAAATCAGAAATAAAGAATAATGACTGTTATTATGGTATTACATATGACAATTTGAAATTTTGGTTCAGACTTTAGCAAGAATCATGGAAACTTGGCATGCTTGATTTGCTTTCATGGGCCACATAAAATGATGTGGCGGGCCAGATCTGGCCCCTGGGCCTTGACTTTGACACCAGTGCCGTACGGGGTCGCCACTTAGGTTGAGTCAAACGTATGTATTTGTGACATCTATTTTTTTTTAAGTGCTTGTGACAGTCATTCATATTAGGAGCAATTGTATTTTGAATTTATTTGTATCTTTTTCAGAACAATTACATTACATATCGTATATTGTTTTCAGTCCATAGTAGCATGACATTTCAGGACGATTATTTGTAGCATGATATTGTTATGATTTTTCTTACATTTTTTTTGTCTAAATGGAGGTAAAGACATTTTTTTTTTAAGTAGCAATGAATCCAGGAAATATTTCCTAGCCCAGCATTTGAACGACTTCAATTGATTGACAAGTTTATTTTGGACTTATCGAACAACGATTGCTGACGGCGTTGCAACGCAGCCCGTAAATTCCAGGAGGATACTCTATCTGCAGTTACGTCACATTTCAAACCATAAAGAGAATATTTTGGTGGGTGTGCAACATGTGACGACGATAACGAGTAAACACAACAAAGTTGGACTTTTAACGCAAAAAGCAATTATTAACCAACATAATCTTGTCTTTTGCCAGCCTAAAAGTCTGTGTGCCCTTTTTCCCCTCTTGCAACATGGCAACGTGACCAGCCCCACACACACACACACACACACACACACACACACACACACACACACACGCGCATACACACTTGTGCAACCTGAGCCCAAGTTAAAATCAGCAAAAGCATCTCACCTTTGCTTTGCTTTTTTTTCTCCTTGGCTTTTTTGCGATCAGTGTTCAGTAGTTGCACAGCACAGCCGGGGAGCAGCACGAGTCACTCGTCCAATCCTAGGTAAGCAATTTCCTTTCATTTAATAAGCCAATCATAATAAACTTTTCTGACTATTTTTCTTTCCTAAGCGCACACTGACCAATGCTGAAACATTCCAGCGGAGTTCAAAACGTAAATAACAAAAAGTGCTAAATACGGAAAGAAGGGTTAAGGGTTGTACTTAAATATATATATATATATATTCATACTATGTAGAAATGTTTTTTTATGTTCAATGAATTATGTTCAGTTCTACTACTATTACGACCACGACTATGTTTAAAATCATAAATTACACAATTTGTATCATGTTTGGGTCACAGGTTTTCTGGTTATTGTAATCTTAATTTTTTAAATAATCTACTTCGGTAAATGTTCGAAAATTGGCTTACCTTGATATTTTATTCATGATTATTATTTTTTTTAAATTCAAAAGACGCTATGTAAAATTTGGTAGACATATCGATCCATCAGTGGATGTACCAAAAAAAAAAAAAAAAAAATCTCAAAATGTGTCAAGTTAGAAATAAAACACATTAATTCTGCCTTTTTGTTTTGAAGCTGACATTTTTGGCTCATATTTACGAACGGCAAACTTTCCATATATTTGAAGCACAGATACTTACTTGACAAATGTTAAATATTTGATTTTTTTTTTTTTTTTTTTTTTTTTTTTTTGTCCATTGCCCGTGACCTGTGCATTGCAGCTAAATTTGATGTCACACCCAAAAAACTAACAACTGCCACTGATGCCTGTTTCACTCAGTAACATGAAACTAACAAAAAGCTTGGAGTTGGTGGGGAGTGCCATTGAAATGTGAGATTTTGCCATTGAATGCCGTAATGTTGTTTTTGTGTTTAAAGTGTGGTGAATAAGGTCGAAGATGGGCGAGTGGGGATTTTTGGCAAAGCTGTTGGATAAAGTGCAGTCGCACTCCACCGTCATCGGGAAAGTGTGGCTCAGCGTACTCTTCATCTTCAGAATCATGGTCCTGGGAGCCGGGGTTGAGAAGGTCTACACCACTTCTTCTTCTACATCACTCCAGCATAGAGCACTAGTACTGACGACACAGACAAGCTACCCCCAAACATTAAAAATCCTTTCTTTGTAGACTTGATGCTTGCCGATATTGTACCATGCGCCTATGCAACAGCTGCCTGAACTGTCAAATTTTCTGAATTAGCTCCTCGGGATTTTATCGATAGGGTGAAATAGATTTTGTCTTAGGGTGTTTTCTGGGTTTGATCCAATAAAGAGTAAATTTAAGGTGAAACATACAAAGTCCAGTTGCCTCAATTCTTTGAGGACAAAATTTGATCTGGATCTAAAGACTGTTGGGAAGGGGGGGAAAAAAGCAAAATTTTACAGTGTTTCAATTAGAGCTGCACCATTATCCTGCTCTGTGTTTAGTTCTTTTACTTAAAGTTGAGAGAGCCTTCGCTGCTCCGAGTCCTGCTCTGCCTCGTTGTCGTATGGTGTTCCACAGGGTTCAATTTTGGGGCCCCTGTTGTTCTCATTCTGTATGTCTAATGTTTGTGCGTTTGTTAGTTCCTTCATGTGCACAACCACTATTTGGAGGACGGGAGTGGAAGTTTTGGCACTGTACCTGTAACTAAATGACAATGACGATCCGTTCCAGGTGTGGGGAGACGAGCAGTCGAAAATGATCTGTAACACCAACCAGCCAGGCTGCAAGAACGTGTGCTATGACCACGCCTTCCCCATCTCGCACATCCGCTTCTGGGTCCTTCAGATCATCATCGTGTCCACGCCCACTCTGATCTACCTGGGCCACGTCATGCACGTGATCCATAAGGAGAACAAACTACGTGAGCAACAGAGCAAAAACAACTCCTCCATGCTAAAACTTCCCAAGTACTCGGATGACAAAGGCCACGTGAAGATCAAAGGCAACCTTTTGGGGAACTACATGACGTCCATCGTCTTCCGTATTATCCTGGAGATGGCCTTCATCGTGGGCCAGTACTACCTGTACGGTTTTGTCATGGAGGCCCAAATTGTGTGCACGCGAGCGCCCTGTCCGTTCACGGTGGAGTGCTTTATGTCACGACCCACCGAGAAGACCATCTTTATCATCTTCATGCTGATCATGTCCTGTGTATCGGTGCTGCTCAATGTAGTGGAGATCTTCTACCTGGCGTGCTCGAGGAACGCCCGGAGAAGAGCCAAAATAGCCGGCGGAGCCCTGCGGGGGCCAATGAACGGCAGCGAATTCGTCAGAGCGTGAGCGACTGGACAAAATAGCGGCCGGCAGAAGAGAAATCCGAGAAAAAAAAAACTTTAACCCTTTTATGCACCCTGTAACCTGATAACATGTACACTGCAATAACCGCTGTCCCTGAAAGGGGTAAAATAGCGTCACAAGGGTGACTTCAAAATAAGTGGTACCTTGTCTTATGAACCGATTTGTCACTCACTTTTAGGGCTGAACAATTTAGAAAAATAATCTAAATGCAGTTTTGTCCCCCCATATTGCGATTACGATTTAATATGCCTTTTTTTTCAAGGTACTCATTCAATGTATTTTTCAACACAAGCAATACCCTCCATTCTATTTTTTTCAAATCAGTGGCTTTATCATTTGTGCCCGGCCATACTATGCAAATCTACTTCAGTAACGCTTTCGAAAACTGGCTTTAACCCTTTCATGCACCCTGTAACCTGATAAAATGATAATGTGTCCACTGTAGTAACCGCTGTCCCTGAAAGGGTTAATTTAATGTTACCCAATTAAATGAATTTAGATGACATTATTCTGCTCCTGGACCCCAAAATTACCTTTTTTTTTTTTTTTGTAAATAGCACTGTATTGTATATAAAAAGATAATAAAAGAAAGTATGAATAAATACGCAGTTTTTATAACGTGCATTTAAGATGAAGGTAACACACACACACAGATGCTCATGCTCCTCGTGAGTGCTTTCATTTTCTATTTGGGTGTGAATTTGTCTGTTTGTATCTATTAATAAACGGCTGAAAATGTAAAGTGTTTTTGATCAGTGTTACAAACATCTCCGTTGAGAGTTCAATTCATGTTTGCTGGTCGCATCCTGTTTTTTTATATCCATGGTGGTGTGCGTAAAAGCGGCCGTCTGGCTTTTGGAAAGGCGTCGATATTTTGATCGTGGATCAGATTCTATTTTGTGTTTGAATTTGCGCTTCTCGTTTGTGATTTTAAGAAATAATGCTCATTGCAAACAACAACAACGAATGTTTCGAGACCTAAGTATTTAGCCTTGGATTTTACGACACTAATGTGGTCAATTTTTTTGTTTTGCTGTTTATAGTTTTTTTGGTCCAGTTTGTTTTCATAACACAGATATTATAAACAACCTCAAAAATGAAATTATGTATTCTCATTGTTCCCTTTTTGTCCTTATATTGCTAACAGTGCCGTCACCAGCAGAGGACGTTCCCGCCTCCTCATTTAAAATCCAGCTCTTAATATTTACATTTACAGTACGCTTGTGAAGACTCTACATCCATCCATCCATTTTCTAATCCTCTTATCCTCACAAGGGTTGCAGTGGCTTGCTGGAGCCTGTCCCAGCTGTCGGTAAGCAGGGGACACCCTTAAGTCACAGCGCCACCTTGTGTGAGTCAGGAATAGTTTCAGGAATTTAAAATATATATATTTCTGATATTTTTTAAATCAATGAATTTGTGAAAATGTACCAAATTTCCCATGTTTAATTCTGCCCTCTAGCAGTGGCCTTTTTTTGGTTTTGTTTTGGGGTATTTTTTAATGTATTGCGTTGTATAGCGCAGTGTGTCTAGGGGTAGTTGGGATAGTGTACTTGTTTGACAAGATTCTTGTGTGATTGTTTGTGTGGTTAACTACCTCAAAAGCTTTGGGTGCCACACACGCTCTTATAGAATAATATTTTTAAAAAAAACACAGCATTGGTTATTCACTGACTGTGCTGGAGTAGATGAAAAAAAAATATTAGGAATAACAACAACTCACAGGCTGCTCAAGGCGGGGTCACTGATCCTCCGTGACACTACCACAAAAGCTTTGGGTGCCACACACTCTCATATAATAATTTTAAAAAAACCACAGCATTGGTTATTCATTGACTGTGCTGGAGTCGATGAGATTGGTGAAAAAAAAAAAATAATACTAATAACAACAACTCGCAGGCTGCTCAAGGCGGGGTCACTGATCCTCCGTGATCTGATCATGGTTCCTTTGCTGGTGCCAGGGCATTGCCCAAGAACCTGCAAGTCACAAGCAACAACACAAATCTATACACGATCGTTTTATTTATTTATTTGGCATCCAGCTGCGTCTGGATCCACAATTCATCTTTGACCCTAAACATGCTCAAGAGTCATCTGCGGAAGATATTCTTTTAAAAAACGATTTTGCAGGAAACCACAAGAGGGCGGCATAACTCTACTCAAAGTCACAATTGTCACATCGGCTCAGGTCATTGACTCCTTTGTGAACTTTCAGGCAGAGGAGTTGGCGCAGATTTGTCTTTCTTTACACTCAAGAAAAACATCAATGTGTCTGCACTTGTCATCCAACGTTCGTGGATATCTATTTCAAGCTTGAGACATACTTTCACTCAGGCAAGGCACTGTGATATCAGAACACGCAGGCAACGACTCGTCTGCTAAGGGGGGAAAAAAAACGTAAATAGTTTTCTGTAGTGTTTGTGTGCACATGTTGAATAATTGCCTCATAAAGCCCGTTTAAACATACTGTATTTGTAATCTGTGATGCCATTTAATGACCAAACCAAACATCCTGGTGGAAACAAAAAATGTTTTGAATGTTACATTTGCAAGTTCTTTGCATTTTGGATGAAGTAAAACTGATCCTCGACAAGTTTGACGCAACCCCAAAAGTGGGTCGCAAACAGCTAGTAAAACATGACATTATTTGTAGACATATTCTTTTTTTCCGAACCCTTCTGACTGAAGTGTACCAAAAAAAAAAAAAAAAACCATACAATATTGGGTAAGCGTCAGGAAACGTTACTCACATTTGCTCTCGTCACTAGCTACTCCAGAAACAAATACAGTGCAGCATGGACTTTAGTTTTCCCTCTCTAATATCTAAATGTCAATGTGATTGAGCTTCAATTTTCAAAGGGTGGCTAGTTTTTCTTCGTTAAACTGTGGCTAAATTTTACACGAGTGACAGTTACTACCGGTAATTTCTAAGCGAGTTAAAAAAAAAAAAAATTCAAACGTGAAGTGAGGCTAAAGACATTAGGTTAAGCAAAGGCACATGCTAACTGCTAACAGATGTTGCAGTCCCTAATATAACATCAGTGAAATGTCTTCAGAGGTTGATTACTTTGACTTGACTTCAGCTGTATTATAACATGATAGTTAGAAAAGTTACATCTGCTCAAACTTTGCCTAAAGATGTCCGGATGTCAACATTTCAAAACCTGGAACCAAATGAATTACATTTCAAAGATTTGCCATGAGGAAAATGGTTTTGAAATGGTACATTTTTGTTCCCAAATATTGCCACAGGGCTGTAACAATGAAGGTTATTTATTAACAATACGGCTGTCCAAAGACAAGACTGTTTATGGTCCAGTGCTCCTCCGACATGTGTGAAGCGCAACTCCACTCGCGAGGATTAACAGTTCTGAGAATGGGTGGATGGGTATACACCATTGTGCATATTTGTACATATAGAGCTGAACTTCTCTTTTACCTTTTTATTTCACTTCCTGGTACGGGTGTGCCATGGTGTCAGTCCAGTGTGTTGCGGTTTCATCCTTCCGCCCACTGCCCTAAAAAAAAAAGAAAAAGAAAAAAAACTGAAATCAACTTCCTGAGTTCTCAAAACACGCATTGGAGACGTGCGCGCGACTGCTGAAAGGACTCGGGTGACGAATATGGTCATAGTAGCGAGTCAAGTTGAGTGTCACAGTGACTCTCTGCATGTCTGACAGAACGTTACAGTGTGTGAATGAAATCCCTCTCGATTCCCTCATATGCTAATTAAGACGCAATGACAACAAGTATGCGTCAGCAAGGTTTTATATTCGGATTTGGTCTGCATTATTCGCGTTAAAATGTACCGTTTACATTTATGGCCTAAATTTCAAGTCAATCAGTTGTCTGAATATGTCTGTGTCACAAAAAAAAAAAAAAAGGGGGGGGGGGGGGGGAAAAATAATGAAGCTATCAGCCAATGATTTGGAGTTTAAATACCTTTGTGCGTCATGTCTGACAGGCGTTTAAGTTGGCTTTCATGTCAGCATAATAATCAACGATGTCTCGGGGCAAAACAAGGCGGGGCAAGGCAAAGGAATGAAAGATTTAAGAGAGAACAGACAACTGGGAGACAACAACAGTCTCGCTTGGATGACAAAAAGGGAGTCAGATCAAATCAACAAGTGTAATCTTTCCTCAGTAGCAGCTCGTTCCAGGCTCCATGACCAAAAACAGTACCGCCGCGTCATCATTTTGTCACCGGTGGAGCCGAATCATATTGGGAGTAGGTGACGTGGCCGAAGGATTAACTTCATGCAGACTCAGCTGAGTCGCAACCACCGATGACGTTTGCCGTTTGAGGGTCAAAAAGAAAGACTTTATTCATTCAAATATGGAGCGAGAAAAGAAAATCTTGCCACAATATTTTTTTTAAGTCAATTAAGAAGTTGCAACCAAAACGTTTGTTTCCGGCAAACGCCGACCAATCAAATGTCACTACAACAAATTTTTATAGTCTATAAAAGCGCCTCAAAGCCGTTTGTCACTTTCGCAGACCGTTGCGTTTTACAAGAATCCTGCCGCGCCTTGATCCGCCTCCAAGTGACATTGTGGGCAAATAAAGTGTTGTCTGAGGAGAAGGGGTTCAAAAGTCAGCTCCAAAGTAAACATAAAACTAAAAAGGAAACTAGTTCAGGGTGTGCTGCGCCGACTGCCAGAAGACAGCCGGGAGAGGCTCCAGCGCATTCGCAACCCTTGTGAGGATAACCTGCTCGGATAATGAATTGGACGGGAAATAAAAAAAAGCATGACGGACGCTAACAGGATCTTTGGAGACGGGAACCACATCGGGCTGGACATGTCAACCATTTTAACCCTTTCATGCTAAATAATAACCTGGAAACCTGATAAGCTGTCCACTGTACTAGCCACTGTCCCTGAAAGGATTAAGGAAAAAAAAAAATCTGTTTTTGTTTTCAGTTTTTATCATCCAATCCTGGAATTGAACGTCAGCATCTTTTTCTCGGTCTGACGGGAGAAAGTTTGCCATGGAAGGGAGCTGTCCAGACTCGTCGAGTCAGGAGGCATGCGGGAACCTATCCCACTACCTCCGCCTGCGCTTCCCTGAGGAACGCCACATTCCTTTGCAGCTTCTCCGTCCACATTGGCATTGACATAAATCACCAGCTCCACCATTAATTCCCCGAGCATCCGAAGCAAAATCCCACTGTGGCAGCGACTGCACAGTAAGCGACGCTCAGACACTGGAAACTGGTCACTCATGAGAAACTAGTGTAGGTTGGAAAACGCGAAATGGTCTTGAGTGTTGACACAACTGTCGGATTGGGTCATCAGAGGTCAAGCGTGAGCTGAGCTATCATTGCCAAATCCAGAGAGGCGGCGATTGGTGGGTGCACTGGGAAGCTGTCACTCTTGAGAAAATATCTCAGCTACATGCAAGCTTGTGGGATCGAACAAAGCAGCCCTCGGAATAACTCCGAAGATAGTTCTCACACTTGGTGCCAAGAGATTGCAGGATGCCTGCGACTGCCTGTCAGGCACGTCCAGAAACACATCGACATGGACGTCCGTAGGCATGGCCGTGCTGACGTCGAGCTGTCCAACTGTAGGCCGTACATGCTGGGGCCCTCGGTGACTCACCTCCCGGGGCTATAAGGAGGAGCCTCGACGGGAGCGCGGAAACCAGTTGCGCGACTCTCCCGCTGTGATTCACTTCAAGAGCTGGAAGCTCGTTGGCGTGAACAGAAGCACAACAAGTAGGACCCCCCCCACACTCCTCCCCTCGCCTCTGCCCCCGCTTGGCCAGCCGGGACCCTGCTTCCGCCAGGAACCCCTCTCGCTAGATAACTGACTTGGAGCTTTGGCGTGCATTCCACTGAAGGAACCAGTTGGACGGGATTCTGGGGCTTTGACAGGGATTTGCGTTTTGACTTTTGCGGGTTGGCCGTTCAGTCGATATCGTCGGGACGCTTCTACCCGCTCGAGGACTTGCAAAACCGCCAGGAATAAAAAAAAAAAAACTCTTGGACCCGGCTGAACCCCGGACGCCATCTTTACCAGCTCCTTTCCCCCAGGTAGGCACTATGCAAAAAATCACAGCAAAACCAGCAGACATTGCAACAGCTCCTATCTCGGTGCTCCTAACTTCTGAAATTGTTGACTCCCTTTTGCCATTTTGCGCATTTTTCGATCACTCTGCATCATTCGATCGATTGTTGATCAGAATCGCCGCACTCTTGAGCGCATTTGTATTGCCGATGACTGCCTATGCCAGGGGTAGGGAACTCCGGTGCCTCGAGAGCCATAGCGTGCCTGTTTTGGACTCTCTCTACTTCAACACACCTGATTCAAACGATCAGCTCATCGGCAAGCTCTGTCGAAGCTTGAAACGATCATGATCAATTGAATCAAGTGTTTTGGATTCGAGAGAGCTGTAAAACAGGCGGGCTCTCGAGGAACCGGAGTTCCCAGCCCCTGGCCTTGACTCTGCTTTGACCGTATCTCCTAAATCCTATCCAGTATGTCGTAGTCCAAGTCCTGCATCTTTTGCGATATTCTGATCCCTTGACTTTTGATTCAATTCGTTCCATGACCAAGCTCATAACTTCATTTAGCTTACATCGAATCCATTTTTGGCCATCAAATTGATTAGGCACTTAAGAGTCAAGGTACCTCGAATGAGAGAAATTTCTCATGGACACGGTCCATAAAGATGATTCTCTGATTCCAGAGAAGATTCCTCCGCTCCCCACATGGCAAACGGCTCCATCTACCAGCTCATCGAGGACTGCGAAGCCACGCACAAGGGGCTCTACAAATTCTACGCCGCCGTCATGATCATCATCGTCATGCTGGCCTTGCCTCTCAACATGTCAATCCTGCACCTCTTCATCTTCAAGTTGAAGTTCTGGAAGTCCAACACCAACAACGTCTTCCTGTTCAACCTGGTGCTGGCCGACATGCTGCTGCTTTTCAGCCTGCCCATCAAGGCGTACAACTATATCCAGGGAGAGCGGCGGAACAGCAACGACGCCGTGTGCAAAGCCATGCTCTTCATGCTCTTCCTCAACCGCGGCGCCAGCATCGCCTTCCTCACTGTCACGTCCATCGACCGCTACTTCAACGTGGTGCACCCGGGACGCAAGAACCTGCTCAAGGCTCTCAAGAAGTCGCCGCACATCTCCATTTTCATCTGGCTGCTGCTCCTACCCCTCACCATCCCCACCATGCTCAAGAACTTTGATTGCTGCAATAGCCACAAGAGCGACGGAAACCAGGAGGACACCCTGATCAAGGTACGAGGAACCCCCGGGTCTAGAGGTGAAAAGTTGCAATGCAGAGAGACCACGGGCATTTTTTTTTCACATTCAGTGGGGTGATTTCAATCTCAACGAGTGCTCTCTGTTGTATTAACCCTTTCCATGCACCTGATAACCTGAGAACACGGTAAGCTGTCCACAGTAGTCACCGCTGTGCCCGAAAGGGTTAAAAAATCCGCGAGAGATGAACGGCAATATCGCGGCGGAAGACTGCAGCGGGCTTTGGACCGTTCAGTCTAAGCTTGTTTATAAAAGCAGCTCATCGGGCTCCATACTTGACGTGTAGTGCCAGGCTATAAATAAAACGGTTAGCTCAGTGGTTAGCACTGTGGCCCCGAGGGTAGAAGATTTTACATGGGATTTCGGCTGCTACTCTGGCTTCCTGCCACATTCCAAAAAAAAAAAAAAAAAAAAAACATGCATCCACTGATGGCTCGAAATCGCTTTCTGTGTTTACACAAAGAAAACGTAAGTTGGCTTCAAGTCGGCGAGCGAACCATCTTGAATATTTATAACAAATACGCGGAGGAGATAGAAGTCTCTAAATTGCCCTTGAGTATAAACGTACATTCGACTAAATCGTTTCAGTGCTTACAACAAAACGGACGTGAGTCCAAACTGATTCCAATATTTAGAAAAACACACGCTGTATGTTGGGTCCACTGAAACTCGCATCACATAAGTGAAAGTTAGGTTTGTGGAACATTTAAATCCATTTTGTAACATCCTCTTTCCGTGAAGAGTGCCGGCCATTTTCAGACCCTTTTTTAACCTCACTTAAAAATGTGAAGAATAAATAAAATAAATCAATAAGTACCTGGGGATTGAATCTATGAAGGGTGAAAAGACGTATAAATATGTCTTTGGGAGTGAATGAGATTTAATTCAAACCTGCTTGGTGACCTCAAAGTTTGTTCCTTCCAGACTGTGAATTGAATTTGATTCCCCTCTATAAAAAAGTGCATCGTGACGGTGGCTCTCCTTTCCCACATGCGATGGCATTAAAGAAAAAAAAAATTGCTAAAATTAAAACAGCTAAATTAAATCCATCCATCCATTTTCTACTGCTTAATCGGGGTCGAGTCGCGGGGGCAACAGCTTTAGCAGGGAAGCCCAGACTTCCCTCTCCCCAGCCACTTCTTCCAGCTCTTCCCGGGGAATCCCGAGGCGTTCGCAGGCCAACTGGGAGACATAGTCTCTCCAGCGTGTCCTGGGTCGTCCCCGGGGCCTCCTCCCGGTGGGACATGCCCGCAACACCTCACCAGGGAGGCGTCCAGCAGGTTTCCGAATCAGATGCCCGAGCCACCTCATCTGGCTCCTCTCGACGTGGAGGAGAAGCGAATGGGTTAATGTTCCATTTAAAGTTGTACTGTTGCTTGGAAATTGGGTCCTCACGGTCGACTCTCGTCATTTTTTTCCGTGTGTCAGGATGTGGTGGACAGCTTACGAGAGGCGGTCTTCTTCACGCAAATCGTCATCCCCTTCGTCATCCTGGTCTACTGCACCGTGCACATCGTCAACCGCCTGCGCAAGAAGACGGTGGGCGACAGGACCAAGCTGAGGCGGGCCGTCTTCCTCGTCACCACCGTCATGGTGGTCTTCTCGCTCTGCTTCCTGCCGTGTACCATCGCGCGGGCGGTGCTGCTGGTGGCCCGCGTGCAGGAGTGGCACGAATCGTACCAGGACAAAGCCACCGTGGCCTTCGACGGCCTCATGGTGCTGTCCTACTTGGACTGTCTGCTGGACCCGCTCGTCTACTGCTTGAGCAGCACCAAGTTCAAGGCGCTCTACCTGTCCACTTATTTCCCCTTCTTGCTGAAGGATGGGCCGCTGCCAATGGACAGCTCCACGGGGAACACCACGCCCAACCCCAAACGCAACAACGTCATCTGAGGGACGCCGACCAGTAGGGCGTCTGCTTTGAACTCTGGCCACGATGTGGACTTCATTCGTAAAACTGTACGTTGACGTTCAGCGGGAAGGATGAGAGGTTTGACATTCTGGATTTAAAGGGGGAGACATTTGTCTTGGTTTTCAAAAACCAATTATTGACTGACTGAATGAAAACATGTTCTTGGGCAACAAGTGACATATTTCCTGTCTCCGGTGGCCTTTGGGGCACACTGTATTTAAAAAAAAAAAAAATCTGAGTTTTAATTGTAATAATTTTTTCCCCTTTTTGCTTCTATAAAAGCGAATGGCAATGATTTTAAAAATAATTTTCCTTATTTTTTTTTAAATACTCTCCAGATTTGGTTGATTTCTCCTGGTGTCAAATGTTTTTTGAAACTGTTTTTTGTAGCATATTTTTTCCAGTATTAACTTTTCCTGAAAGTCATGCTCCAGTCCACTATATAAAAAAAAACATACAATGTAAACACTTGGCCTCAAATAAACAACTTATTCTGTGTAATAGTGATTTAGAACATTCCACAAAGCGAACTGTGTAAGCAGTATCGAGAATTTCTTTTAAAAGGGGTTTGTTTGTTTTTTCCTGAGGAATAATCTCAAAACAGCCCTACTTCAAATTTGGAATCATGATTGAATATAGAGACACGTGATTTATTTATTTATTTTTTAATATATACATTTGATATCAACAGAAGGTGTACCTAAATGAAAGTGTCCATTTTGGTCAGGACAACGCAGAAATGTCCTTCGACGAGCCTGATGAAATAATTAACAACCCCACATGATGTCACACCATGTGTTGCGCAGTAGCTGAAGGTCCTAACAGGAAGATGACGACTATTATTCACGTCATTTTGTCATCACTGATTTCCTTTAGGGGTAAACGGAGGTCAGGTTTCACCCAGAAGGGAATGAAAAATGTCAGATCCTAACCTCTTGACGTCCTACAAGGCTGATGTATTAAAAACTACTGGCAGGGATGTCACCCACATTAAAAAAAAAAACATACATACACACACACACATATATATATATAAAACATTTGCGGACCTACATTAACAATACGCCGGTATATTTCCTACCATGGGGGGAAGCAGTGGAAACCGTGACACAAAGCAGTCATTACCTGGAATATGTCATCGCCTTGATGATGTCATCCCAGGAATGGTCACATGATGCATCCGATGATGTCAACCAGGTGGAGAGTGTCTGTGTGCGTCCGTTCGCCTAAAAATAGATGACAGACAGGGTAAGCTCACTGTGATTCAATTGTACGTCAGTGGTTTTGTCAACCTTTACAATATGTTGCAATAACTGTGTGTGTGAGTGTGTGTGTGTGTGTGTGTGTGTGTGTGTGTGTGTGTGTGCGTGTGTGTGTCATCGATAACACCTCACTACATTTGGATGGAAAAAGTGGAAAAGCATTTCCAGTCAACGCCAGTCATGTACCGCAAGTGTGGGATCCACTCCAATAAATGCCTGGCCGGAAATAAAGATCTACTTTTGTCCAAATGCATCATATCATTATTTAATTGAAAAACACAATATTTTTTTGCAAGAATTGCAAAAAATACCAAACTTAAAATGAGCACTTTGTTCTTCCAAGTGCATCACCCGCAAAAAAATTTTAAAGCCTCACCTCAAATAAGCCCCTACTTTTTAAGTGTCATCCCCAACAACAAAGGCCGAACCTAAAATGAACATCTGCTCTTATCTTGTCACCCACTTCACGATAGAGACGCCTCACGTCAAATAAACACGGTTTTCTAAAACAAATTGACGCCTCATATCGAATAACATCCTTTTCCCAAGTGTGTCATTCACTAAAATAAATACCAGACTTAAAACAAACACCTTCTCTTTCATTCATTAAAAAAAATGAAGCGCCTCAAACCAAGTCAACATGTTATTTTTCCAAGTGACTTTTTAGGATTACTTTTTAGGTCCACTAAAAAAATTAAAAGCCTCGCCTCAAATAAGCCCCTTGTTTTTTTTTATTAATTTTTTTTTTTTGTATGTGTTACAAACCAATCCTGTGGGAGATTTTGTGACGAAGGGGTTTACAGTCATGTGGTGTAGCGTTGTGTCGTGGTTCTTGGGCGCTGGCAGGTCGTGTCGTGTCACAACAACGATCAGGCACGCGGTTTTGGTTTTGGTTCGATGGAGAAGATGAAGCTGAGAATGACAAGCGGGATGTGTCGCGGCACGCGAACTGAAGGTTGATAACATTGGAAAGATAAGCGTTTTTTTTTTTTTTTTTAATTTTCCCGAAAAGAAGTGACCAGTTTCTGACGGCCAATCTTAATCGCTAATCAATCTCGCGGTGCGGCGCTCAAGCAGGAAGAATAGATGAGATTGCAAAACAAGGTTTGTGAGCGGCACGTACGTGGGAGGAAGCCGCAAGGCAAACAACTTCCTGCTCCAGTGAATGCGTTAATCTGCGTCTTCTTCAAACTGTTCTTGTCGCCACGGCAATCTGACAAAATGCCTGTGAAGCAGAGCGACTCACCGGCTAATAAATGATTGCCATCTGAGTCTTCAATCATTGGCTTTTATCAGGCAGGGTAACGCTTCAGCAAAGAGCCTCGCTTCAAACCTCTGACACCCTCTGATAATCAAATATATGCCTCACCTCCAATAAACCTTTTTTTTCTTCAAGGGCCTCAGGGACGACAGGTTAATTCTTTATTTCAGGTAAAAAAAAAATTTTTCTCAAGTGTTTTAATCCACTCCAAGAAATAAATACCTCACCTTAAATAAAAAGGGATGGTTTCTCCCACGTGTCAGATTCCACAGCAGCTCATAAAATGCCTCAACCTAAAGAAAATCCACAAACTGTGTCGAATACAAATAAACACCTCCGAACAACTTGCTCCTTTGTTCCAAGTGCATCGCTCACTCCAACAAATAAACGCCTCACCTCACATCAATAAAAAAAAAAAAAATGACACTAAAATCATGCCTGACGCCAAACAAAAACTAATGCCTCACATTGAAGAAAAACCTTATTTCAAGAGTGTCTTTCACAACAGCAAATTATGACCTCACCTCAAATAAAAAACATGAGTATGACAAATAAATGCCTGCTTGTTTCAACCATGCCATCCACTCCAACAAATAAACACCTCGCTTCAAACAGACACCTCAGATCAGTCCGAAATGTGTCATCTACGACGACTAATAAATGCCTCACTCCAAACAAAGTCTCCGACCGCAACGATGACAGACACCCCGCTTCAAGTATCAACAGACACCTCACTTCTAATAAACCCAATTTTTTTTCCTAAATGTCATCCACCACAACTTTCATTTTCGATAAATATCTCCTTTTTTTCCCCAAGTGTCGAATCCCACCAATAAATGACTCACTTCAAAGAGGCACTTCCTTTTGTCAAACCTGTCATCCACCGCAACAAATAAACACCTCTCACCAAAGAAGCGCCAATTTTTATCAAGTCAAGTCATCCGCCAGAAAGAATAAACGCCTCTTTGTTGAAAGTGTGCTTTCAACAGCAGCAAATACAGGCCCTCACCTCAAATAAAAACAAGATCGAGAGGAACCGTGGATGTGTTGGTGGGCTGCCGCAAAGCGCGGGACATGTGCAGACATGAGTGATTGTCTTTCCTGGCCACCTGAGGAATTTCACAGCTCTTTTCAGGAAAGAGTTCGGGAAAACGTGGTCGACTTGTGACGCATCCGTTCATACCAGTGGGAGTTTGAATGTGTGGAGAAAAAAAAAAAAAACGAGAGCCAAGGCGAGAGAATGCAGAGTCAGGGGAGGCCTGACTTGAAACCACACCTCCAAGCGTGAAGCGCCTTTGCTCACTCAGCCTCTTTTTGTGGGGGCAGGGGGAGAATGAGGAGAGGACAGCTTGGCTCTTATACAGTCACTCATCTGTCTGGCTGCATTCGCCACCTTTGAGCGCGGTATTTACTAACCGAGCGCTTCCTCGGAATGTGACTCAAACTTGACCCGACTCGTAAGAAGGACGCTGTGCAATTTGACGAGAACCAGCGGCGGGGACGGACGGTGGAGGATGATGGGAACCAACGCGTCGGCCGTGGACAGCAAGTTGGACCACTGCAACGTTACCAACGCCGTGACGTACAACGTCCTCTCCGGGATCGTCGCGGCACAGTTTGCGCTCGGCCTGCCTCTCAACCTGTCCGTCCTCTACATCTTCATATTCAGGTAAACTCCATCGCTCACAAAAAAAAAAAAAAAAAGTTGATTCCTCACCTCAGAACAATAAAAAGCTCACTTGTAATAAACACCTTGTTATTTGTTAACCGGCATCGAAAATGACTCACTTCAAATGGACACTTGTTTTTTCCACTGTCAGCCACAAAAACAAATGAACATGCCTCACTTCGAATAAATGCAACAAACACCTCACCTCAATTTGAGACGTTCTCCCCATGTGTCATCCATGAAAATTAATGCCTGACCGCAAGTACACTTTTTTTAAGTGCATCATTCACTACGACAAATGTAGAAATCAATCAAACAAATACATTTTCCCACGTGCATCCTCCAATACTAACTGTGAATAAACACCCTTCGTTGCGTTCTCTGTCAGAAATACCTCACCTCGAATCGACATCGGCTTTTTTTTTTCGATGCGTGTCATACAAGAAAACAAATAAATGCCTGACTTCAAATGTCTTTCTAGTGCGTCATCCACGACAACAGATAAATGCCTCACCTCACAAAAAAATAAAATAAAATACATAATTGTGGGCCAAATGTGCCATCCACTACATCAAATAAAGGCAGGGCTTCAAACAAACATCTCCTTTTTATGTCATCCATAAGAACCAAGAAACACCTCACCTCAAATAAACACCTGCTATTTCCAAATGCCATCCGCAACATCGAAAAAAAAAAAATTAAAATAAAAAACACCTCACCTCAAATTAACACCTGCTATTTCCGAAAGTCTTTTGCAACATCAAAAAAATAAATAAAAGTAAACATTAAAAAAAAAAAAAACACCTCGCCTCAAATTAACACCTGCTATTTCCAAATGCCTTTTGCAACATCAAAAAATAAATACAAATAAACATTTTTAAAAATAAAACACCTCGCCACAAATTAACACCTGCGATTTCCAAACACCATCCGTGACATTAAAAAAAAAAAAAAAAAAATGCCTCGCCTCAAATTAACACCACCTTTTAAGATACTTTTTTTTTTTTCAAAAGGAACCACCCACCGCAGAAAAATAAAGGCTAATACTTGGGAATGAATTAGAAATTCATTTTGATGGGATTGGGATTCCCTTTCTTCTTCTGCCCCCTACTCTTTCTTGTCCTCCTCCTTTCCGCCCATGGAGTTTCAAATTCTGGAAGAACAAGAGCGTGTTTCTATTCAACATTGTGGTTGCCGACTTCCTGCTGGTGGCCTGCCTTCCCGCCAAGGCCTACAGCTACCAGTTGGGCCAGAGGCGCAGTCCCAACACCTGGATGTGCAAGGCCATGCTCTTCATGCTCTTCCTCAACCGCGGCGCCAGCATTGCCTTTTTAGTCACCCTGTCGCTGGACCGCTACTTCAACGTGGTGCACCTCGGGCGGAGGAACTTTGTCAAGGTATTCTTTCGTCCGAGGCGATCCTCAGGCTCCCGGTTCACTGTGGTGCCTTTAATACTCAACTCAACTTTATTTAAAGCCTAACTTAACACTTTCGGGGACGGCGGTGACTACAGTGGACGGCTTATCATGTTATCAGGTTGCAGGGTAAAATCGACTCTCTTTTGCGGATCGGTCAAGGTCCTGAAGAAATCTCCAGAAATCTCGGGGGTGATCTGGCTGCTCCTGTTGCCCCTCACCATCCCGACCATGCTCAAAACCTTTGAGTGCTGCAACAGCCACGGTCGAGACGTTGAGACCATTTACCACGATGTCACCGACACCTTCAGGGAGGTATTGAGCCGAAACGCGTTCTCATAAACACAGTCGCTACAATTATAAATCAAAGCTGCATCCACTACAAAAATAAATGCCTCACCTCAAATAGACACCTCGGTTGTGACTCTGCTGTACAGCCCGCAGTCCACTCAGCGTCTTTCCTGATGGTTCCTCTCGACTGTAGGTGGTGTTCTTCTCGCAAATCCTCATCCCCTTCATCATCCTGCTCTACTGCACAGTGCGCACCGTCCATCGGCTCAAGAAGAAGTCGGTGGGGGAAAAGGCCAAACTGAGGCGAGCCATGTGCGTGGTGATGTCGGTGGCGGTCATCTTCTCCGTCTGTTTCCTACCGTGCGCAATCGCCCGAGCGGTGTTGCTAGTCATGCGTCTGAGAGGATGGCAGGAGGCCGAGGATGTGGTGGTTCAGGTCTACGACGCGCTCATGGTGCTGTCCTTCACGGACTGTCTGCTGGACCCACTGGTGTATTGCTTCTGCCACTCGGGCTTCAAGGACGCCTACCTGGACACTTTCTGTCCGGCATTCCTGCACAAGAGACTGCGCAAGGCCGAGACCACGACGACAACGACGACGACGAC